AGTGGAAAAACGCAATTCTGAGCCGTCCATCTGCCTATAGGGAACCCAAATTTCCTCAGGAATCGAATGGAATTGGTTTCAAGGCTCTATCTCTCATAGTTAATTGACGGTGAATTTAATTGTCCGTCGAGTAGCCTTTTTTTCATCCCTTAACCTCAATTAGGAGGGGAGAGGTGAATTTTTAATTCGCGGGCGAATGGTGAAAAGTCATTGTGCGCCGAGAAGAAAATTATTTTTTTCACTGGCCCATGACTTTTGTCGTAGTTTCTATTTTTTTGTTACAGAGATTAAGGGATGTAATGAGGATCGATTGATGGGGAATTTAATTCTCCATCACACCGTCTGTGTTTCATTCCTTAATATTAATTAGCCAGCAAATGAATCACCTGAAAAAAAATAAGAACACGTTGTGGATGAGGAGGGCATAAATTCCCCTCCGAAACTATCCCTACGATAGCGGGACTGTTACTGCTGAGTTACCGGCACAGGCAGCTCGCTCAGCCGTCAGATTCGACCGTTGCGCCATCTCTTTGTTGGGGTGATACTATTTTTTGCTTGCCGTCGCCTGAACCCCGAGATCTGAGCCTCTACTTTAGTCCATCCTCTTTGCCACTTACCGAAATAATCCGGATCCCTTTTTCGAATTATAAAGCCTCATAACTTCCCGAATTCCCGCTAGATGGACTCACCCCCGAAAAATTTCCCCATTTCCCTCTCTATGTCGCCTCCCGCCATTTTTCATCATTCATGACCCAATAGTTCCGCAAACGCGAGTCGCTTGGACTGTCCTCACTTCGCCTCAAACCGTGACGACGTTCAGTTGTTCTCTCGACGCTCAGATATCAGAAGACAAAAACCCTCGACCAAACATGTCTGGACGTGGAAAAGGAGGTGAGTATCGATTATCCCCTTCAACACAGCGGATTAAACCGATAATTAACGAAAATAATCCGATGGTTTACGATTAATTTCAATGATCTGATTATTTTTTCTGATTCCAGGAAAGACTAAGACGAAGGCAAAGACAAGGAGCAGCAGGGCTGGGCTTCAGTTCCCAGTGGGAAGAATTCATCGTCTCCTGAGGAAGGGCAATTATGCTGAACGTGTTGGTGCCGGTGCACCTGTCTATCTCGCTGCTGTGATGGAGTATTTGGCTGCTGAGGTACTCGAGTTGGCTGGGAATGCTGCCAGGGACAACAAGAAGACGAGGTAAATAGGCGGGAAACTCGTGACCGTTACGCCGGGCCTAATCACTCGCCTGAGAGAGGTCCCCTTTGTTCATTTCGTTTGGTTTGGCATTTCAATGGTCTCAAGGTCGAACAACATATTTTGGACAACCACTGTGTTCATTCTCTGGGAAACACTCGTTTTGTGATTATTTCTCCACGAATATTTTATTATATTTGACTGATTTATTTTATTATTCCGGGGGAATAGCCGGAATTTTATTATTCCGGGGGAATTTTTTGAAGGAATGGGATTTATGGGAGAGTGGGGTAATATCGACGTTTTTGATTTTTTTAAATGTTAATGACGTATTGCATTTTTGATGAAATGGATTCTTTTTCTCAATGGAATGTCTCTGAGAAAGGAATTTTTCTGAGATGTAAATATTTTAAAAAAAGTCTAAAGTATCCATTTTACGAAACTGTCCTCTATTTTGATTTATTCAGTAATTATTTGTTGATTGGAGGTTTGAGAAGTAAAGAGTACATTTTAAGAAGAAAATTCTCTATGGAAAATTTATCTTCAATCAGTGGTTTCAAGGGGGAACGTTCAGTTTCTTTTTGGATTTGAATGGTCTCAAGATCGAATAACATATTTTGAGAAACGAGTGTCTTCATTCTGAGAAACACTCGTTTTGCGATTATTTCTTCATGAATATTTTGTTTCATTCATGTTATTATTCCAAGGGAATTGGCATTCATTTTGATTTATTTGATAATTATTTGTCAGATGGAGCTCAAGGAAGGATTAAAGCGGGTTTAAGGGAAAATGGGAGAAAACTCTCTGTCAAGAACGTCTTTTCACATTTTATTCAACTTTGATAACTATATAATTAAATGATGGATCGGAAATATCGAAGTAAGAAATTTACATTGAATGAGATATTTAAGTCAGTGATTTTAAGAGAAAATGTGACTTGGTTTAGGGATTCCAAGGGTCTCAAGGTTAAACAACAAATTTCGATTGTAATGAGCCGACTGTATTTATTCTCTGGGCAACACTCACTTTGCGATTATTCCTTCATGAATTTTATCATCCCAGAGAAATTATGATTTATTTCGATTTATTTGTTAGTCATTTGTCGATTGAGGGGCTGAGGAGAAATGAGTGGGTTTAGGGAAAAATGTTCAGAGGTTTCTGGTGAGGATGAAAGCCTTTGAAGAAAAAATCTTACGATTTTCACTTTTTTTTTTCAAATGAAACGAATTAACGAAAACATTAAAGTGTGAAAAACTAAATGAATTGATTTTCTTATCAGTTTACTGTAGAGAATTTGAGGAATATTTACGAATCTAAAGGAGATATTCCTCAAATTCTCTACAAAAAAGTTCTCTCGACATTTTCTTCCAAAATTGATAATTATCAAGATTAATGGAAAGACCGATTAAAGTGGATTTATACAAATGAATGTAATTCTGCAGATGAGTTCAGTAGTCTCGAGTTCAAACAACTTTTAGAAACCGAGTGAGTGTTTATTTTCTGCGAAATACTCTCTTAGCAGTTATTCGTAAATTCGTGAAATTACGTGTATCTATTTATTCCAGGGAAATTCGGAATTTATTCACCCTTCTTGGATTCGATGTTTTGTTTCTCTATTCAATTATTTTATTTTCAAAAAGTATGTATGAGCCCTTTGCTTCACAATTTAAAACCTTCTGCTTTCGGAATTTATTAATGTTTATATGTCCCTCCTAACTACTATTTACCTATAGAGTTAATTTTTTTTTCTTATTGCACTACGGAGATAGTTCTACAATGAGAATGATGAAGTAAATTTTCTCTTGTTTTATTTGCAGGATCATCCCACGTCACCTTCAGCTCGCTATTCGTAACGACGAAGAGTTGAATAAACTGCTGTCCGGAGTGACAATCGCTCAAGGTGGAGTCCTCCCCAATATTCAGGCTGTCCTCCTCCCCAAGAAGACTGGCACCACTGGCTCTGGAAAGGGCGACAAGGCTTCCCAAGAATATTAACTACCTGATTATTAATTATTTAAACTGACTCTCTTTTGATATTATGATAAAAAAACATTCCTCGTATAATACCATACTTTTTTTTATCTACTTTTGATCTGTTCATTATTAAAATTCAACGTTAATACTTGACATTTCCAGGGGTTTAACCCTACTAAGTGTATTCTATGATGAATGACAAACGTATTGTTGATAAATATGACAAATAAATAGTTTTTCTGATAAATTTTGTTTCATCATTTTATAGACAAAAATGTTATTCAAGAAGTTGAAAAAATCTGGTTTTATTATTTTGTAAAAGTTTCATGTTCAGGGGAAAATGTCGGAATCTTTGTTTTTTATAGAAAATTATATTATTTCCAGGGAAGATCATTTCATAATTTTTCTCTAGACTTAGTAGCTTCAAACCAGTAGCGAAGTAGCAAACGGTACCAGTCAATTTTGACTATTGACCAGTTTTCAATGAATATCCCGGAGTTTAAGGGAGATAACAAAATTTTTGTTATAACCTTTTTTGTAGAGCCGATTGAGTTCTACAATAAATGTAATCACGAAAATTTCGCTATCTCCGTCAAATTCCGAAATATTTCTCAAAAACAACTGAGAGATAAGTCGACAAACCGTTTTACCACTTCGCTACTGAAATATTCACAACCGTTTGAGAGTATTTTTTTCAAGTCATTAGTCGATCTTTTATTTTCTATCAAATCCATTCATATAATTTTTGAAATAACTCCGGAATTACTAGGATTACGGAAAAATTTCATAAGACAATTTTTACAGGAAATTGAATTATCTACAAAAAAGTTTCATGGAATTTTCTTCTGAACCGAGTAGTTTTGGAGATATTCATGAAATTGTAATTTTTTTAGACAATTTTTTCTCCAATTCATTCATCTAATTTCATAAACAGTTGAAAATAACTAGATTCATCAGAAAATGTGAGAAAAACTTTTTTATATGAAATTGTAAGAGCTACAAGAAATGTGTTAACATTTTTCTCCAACCTAGCGCCTCAGAGAGATTCGCAAAAAAAAAAGAATTTTCTGAAAATCGACGTTAGATTTTTTGTTCTCCATGAGAATATTTCTCCATTTATTTCCGTTTTCATTTGTTACCCAATGTTGCAATGTTATCATAATACGAATTATTGCATTATACCGTGCTTCCCGCATTCCACTGCGAACAGCGCCAACCGCCACCGCTGACACCTCCAGTACTAAATATTATAGTTCTCGATTTGCACAAGAAATCACATCAACTCCTCATCCTCTCCCAAAAAACTGTGTTCAGTCATAAAAACAAACTCCGTCCCGTCGCACACACATTAGAAATGCCCTCAGCAGACGTTGCAATGCTCGTGGACATGGGGTTCACGTTGTCCAAGGCGTAAGTCCTCTAATTTCGATATCAAAACAATAACCTAACCTCAAACCCGCAATTCACCGGGGCTCTTCTGCATTCTCATCTCTCGTTGCTCTTTTCCAGAGAAAAAGCTCTCCAGATGACTGGAAATAAGGGTGTCGAGCCCGCGATGGAGTGGTGAGCGATAATTCATGGATAATATTCTTTTTTTCAATTTTTCTTCAAATTTCAGAATTGGAAAAAAATTTTGTTGTAGGTTACTCGCTCACTCTGACGATGGTGAACCCACTGCTGAGTCATTGCAGGTCCAGGCATCAGGAAGTGCACCTCCAGAGGAAGCGAAAGCTGCTGAGGCAGCTCAGGAACCGGCTGCAGAAGCCAAATCTCTGAAATGCGATGTGTGAGGAATTTTTTATTGTTTTTTCAGTTAAATTGAATGAAGATTTCACGGGTTCGAAAGGCTCTTGGAAAGTGGGTATTCATGGTGACGATGAGGGGTTCTCTAGGGGAAAATTACCATTTTTTCACCATAAAACTGTAGATTTTAACTGCGGAATTATTCTGGAATAAATTCAGTAGCGAAGTGGTAAAGCGGTTTAAGTCGACTTACCTCTTAGTTGTGTTTTTGAAGAATATCGCCGAATCTAAAGGGGATAATGGAATTTTCGTAATAACCTTTTTTCTAGAGCAAATTGAGTGCTATAAAAATGGTCTCAATAAAAACTTTGGTATCTCTCTTAGATTCCGAGATATTCACTAAAAACTTGCCAATAGTTAAAATCGACTTGAACGTTTTACCACTTCGCTACTAAATTCTAGGAGAACATTTCGAGCGTTCTTCTTTCAGGAAATTTTCTTCTGATATTTTGAACAAACATAAATTCTAGGAGAGCATTCAAGAGTTCTTCTTCTAGGAAATTTTCTTTTAGAATTTTCAAGAGTCAAATTTTAAGAGGACGGTTCAAGAGTTCTTCTTTCAGAAAAATTTTTCCTGAATTTTATGAAAAAAAATTCAAGAGTTCTCTTTAGGGATAGGCAATAATATCAGATTTTGGCAATATTAAAAAGGATTATCTCGTTATATTGTTAAATTAAAATCTCAAAATTTATGTTCTCATTTTTTCAGATGTGGGAAATTATTTAAATCCTCCCTAGAAGTGGAGTTTCACGCAACCAAGTCTGGCCACGATAGTTTCTCAGAGAGTCTAGAGGAGAAAAAACCTCTGACAGACGAGGAGAAGAAGGAAAAATTAAAACTATTGGAGGAGAGAATGAAGCAGAAGAGAAAAGAGCGAGAGGAGAATGAGAAGCAGGAGGCCTACGAGAGAGAGAAATTCAGAATAAAATCGGGGAAGGAGATTGCAGAGGCCAGACGCAGGTGATTATCATCAATTTATAAACAATTCTAAGCAATTCTCTATCAACAATAGAATAATAACAAAATTGTAATTAACGATAGGATTTAGTTATCGTGATTTATTAATGGCTAAGAGTACAGTTTCACTGCATAGAGAGATTGAATTCGTGGATTTTTCAATTTTCATTTAGGTTACCTCAAAAATTAAACTTAATTAATTAATTAAGTAAACTTAAGGAAATACTTGGGTCGTTAAGGGGAGACCGCACTGAAATTTCAAAATCCCAGGATCCTTTATTTAATCATACTTTATCATTTAATCATAATTTTTGAACGTACGATTGTTTGCATGGTTTTTCCTCAAGAATCCATTTCTATAAGTTACACTGCTCTCCGAAAAAACCACCGACCGCACAAATTGACAGTTTTTAATTCTTTGTAATCGAAAATTCAACCTGACAAAAATCTCTAACGTATAAATTTTTGAAATGTTTTTTTCGGTATGATTATCAATTTTCGCTTCTCAATTCTAAAAAAAATGGGGGGGAGGGGAGGGAATGCGTTTTCAAAGTGCAACCAACTAAATTAAAAAATGCGCCTTTTCCATTTTTTATAATTGAGGGGCGACAATAGCTGATGATATTCAAAAAACTATTTTAAAAATTTATACGTTGGGGATTTTTTTGGTTGAATTTTCGGTTATAAATAATTCAAATTTCTTGGATCAGGCGGTCAGAGACAATTTTGATTTCCAAAATTGGATTTTTGCGGAAAAATTATGCGAAAAAAATTAAAAATAGTACTTTTAGAAATTTTCACGTTTCTGTTGTTTTTCTCAATTCTAAGATTGGAGGAGTTAGAGATGAAAAAACTCCTGGAGCAACGAAAGCGTGAAAAAGAGGAGGATAGAATCGTTCGTCAGAAAATTCGCGAGCAGATTGAGGCTGATAAAGCTGCCAGGCGAGCTAAACAAGCTCAGGAGAGTGGACAGCCAACTGTTGTCTCTCCCACGAGTCCCACATCTCCTAGTTCTGTTGCGCCCGCACCCAAGAAGGATTACAATCAAACAAAAATTCAGGTAAATAACATCCCTAATTTGCGACTGTATTAGTAACAGGTGGTCTTAGGAGAAAGTGTCAAGAGAAAATTTGTGGCTTGAAATGGCCCTTGACATTATTTCCTGCAATCAGCTGTGAATGTTTTTAATTCTGATTTGATGAGGTTTTTACCAGTTTGTGCTTTCAATTTTGATTTCAGATACGTCTTACAAATGGAGAAACACTGACTCAGAGCTTTGGCTCCAAAGAGCAGCTGTCAGCCGTGCGTCTATACGTAGAAATGCACAGAACTGATCCTCCAGGGCCGTTTAACCTTATGACGAGCTTCCCTAGAAAAGTTTTTATAGCTGACGATTACGATGCGCCTCTAGACGTCCTTGGTGATTATTGCTACAAGTTAATGTCAGATTTCCATGAAAATTCAATGAAATTCAAAAATTTTGAGCAACAGAAAGACGAGAATACCTCAACTTACTTGAATTTTCAATTAAAACATGAATTGAACATAAATATTTAGTACTAAATTACGCAAAATTTTCTATTAAGGATATCCAAGTACTGTGGCTATTTTGTCTCCACTGAAATGTTTTTCTACTTTTGTAGTCGAACATAAGAGCTTTCATTTGAGCCCCATCTGACCTCAAGTTTCTGGAAATTTTACACTTAGTTTATTATTTAAACTTTGCAAGTCTAAATTTGAGAATAAGGTTTTCTGATTTATTTTAACTTTCATGGAATTGCGCTGAAATTCACAATTTCTATTAATTTTTCCACAAAATTTTGACTTCTCAATCCCGAAATTCTTTGGAATTTCTGTGGAATTATAGTATGGTAAAATTTTGCGAAGAAGTTACCGAAAAATTCAGCCAAAACTTTTTAACATCTCTGTATTATTTTTTTCGTGTATTATTTAAAGAAAAGAAAGCGTCTCATACTTTTCAACCAAACCAGCTAGACTTTTTATTTGTCTAAATTAGTTTCTAATATTAAATTTTGATATCACAATTTTACGTGTATTTGTATATGTTCAATATTTTGAGTATTTTCGATTATGCAATTGAACTATCAGGAAATATCTGATTGTTTTGAATCTCTCGAGGAATTACAACCGAAAAATTCTTCATTTGACAGGCCTGGTGCCCTCAGCTGTCGTGATTGTACAGAAAAACGCAGAAGGATAGGAGAGCTGGACTGATGAGTGAGAGGACACTTCCGGACAGGTTATAAATATGAAAATAATTTCTTAATTAAGTGATTTTTATCATTACTATTAATGTAAATGTGTCGGCATTGAACATGCCATTTCTTATTGGATAAAATTTAACTCGGGGGAGAATATTCCCGAGAACAAGCTTAAACTCCCGATTTATTTACGAGAAGTGCGAATTTCTCGAATCAGAACAACTGACCCAGTAAATATTTCCGAAGTGACCGGATCCGCAGACGAAAACCGAAAAACCTAATAGTATCCAAGAAATTTCCGGAATTTACTGCATGATTTTTTTTGCCTTCATCTCCTTTTAGAGACGAATGGAAGAATCAAATTACTTGAACTTTGTAGTCATTAGGTGGGTATTCAGGGTAATACACATCTCTTTCCCAAGGGCAATCAGTTGGGAAGTTCAAAACTTCATCGCAGTGGATCAAATTTAATGACTTATCGAAGCATATCCAAAGTTCCTCGAGATGCGATTCATTTTTCCCCTGGAAAAATCAAAGTTCTTTGTCAATTACGCGATTTCATGAGAAGATAAAGACGAAAAAAGTGAGATATTTCGTTTTTTATTGACGAAATACCTGATAAATCATTATTTTTTAATATTTTATCATAAAACCATTCATAAACTCAATAATTTTATGTCAAATAATGCACAAGACATTATTTTTCACTGTTACAACTCAACGAAAAGGACTTTTCATGGAGTTCCCAAACAAATCCCTCTATTTCATTTAGATCATAAGATTTTTTTTAGAACATTCAGGAAAGGGGACAATAAGCGATTTTATGGAAAAATACTTTTTCATTTTAAAGGTATTTTTTCAGGTTTCCAAATGAGACCCCAACAGTGTTATTTAGCCACAAAATATTGATGAGTAAAAAAGGTTCAGTTCACCTCATCATCCTCTATCCCGAAATAATGTGGAGGTTTTCGCATAAAAAATGCTACAACTCGTCTCGAATAATCATAACCAATTTTCGTTGTTGAAGCATCAGCAAAAAATTTTGCATGTGGCAGCAAAAATTTGCTTTGTGCGCACGAAATTTTATACTGCGTAAGTTAACTTTTATTTGTTCATAGAGCAACAGCACGCGAGTCGAAAGATTTGTTAGAAGCGAGACATTCTTTTTTTCCGGGTATCATCACGATTCATTATTCAATTTTCATTATTAAACCAATTTCTGTGATAGTAAAGTTGATCAATTACCGGTTTAGTGCTGCAATGCAACATACATCGTTTCCCCAAGACTCGACTGACTCCACTGAGAATAGCTCCAACTGAATAGTAATTGCCCGGCCGAATATTCGCGTTCTCCAGAACATTATTCATGTTGTGAGAGTCGTAGAGCTCTAAGGCCTTCTTGAAATACATCTCCTGTGTTTTCAATATTTCAAGCGAAGTAGAACACGTTCCATGCTTCTCCCACTCGTGTTTCCACACCGGTAACGGTTTATCATCATCGTCCACAGGCATCCACTCCAGCCACTTCATCTCCATTTCTGTTTTTATTGAGTCGATGGATGTGGGATCGAAGATGGAACTGTTATCGCAGTATTTCACGTCCAACGTGTGGAATTTCCCTGGCCAAAGACCATGGATCATCCAGTGGTTTCTAACAGTTTGATTGCAACTATCGGTTGTTTCTTGTTTCGGGGCTGGGCACAGGGTTGGTGGCCATACTTGAGAGAATACGAAATGATCGAAGTATATTGACTGCCTGGGGATGGCTGCCTGGCTCTGTGGGTACCTGAAATCAAATAGAATAATTGTTCTCGAATGTTTCACCACTTCGTTATCAATGAATTATTGCTAGATTGATTGATTCATAATGAACTATTTCTTCAAAGACAAGAGAAAGAACAACTTTACGTTTGAACACTGGCAAGGATCCCTAACACGAAGAGGAACCAGAGATTTTTTATGACTCGCATGGTGGAAGAACGTCAACTATAGTCGGACTGATAACATTGTGCTCCTCGCTCTACTCAATCCCCACTCACATCTATATCACTCACCCCTGATAACTAAAAGCACGCTTGACCTAAACCCACACTAAACGATTCTCTGAAGACAGAAAATAGATCTCGAATACTGAGGTTCGGAAGCACGAATTAATTGTGATTTAATCGCATCAAATCTAATCGATGATAAATCGGAGTCTGTAGCGGCTCTTGCTCATAATTGATAAATACGAAGTGGTCATAGTACATTGACACTGCCTGGGAATTACTGTCTGGTTCTTCGGGTACCTGAAATACAATAGACTAATTTTTCTCGAATGTTTCCTCACTTGGCTACTAATGAATAATTGAACAATCACAATGAACTATTGCTTCGAAGACAAGAGAAGGAACAACTTTACGTTTGAACGCGGGCAAGGATCCTTAACAAGAAGAGGAACCCGACATTTTTTATGAATCGCATGGTGGAGGAACGTTAACTATACTCGGACTGATGAGATTGTGTCTCTCACTCTACTCAATCCCCTTCACATCTACATGAATCACCCCTGAAACATAAAAGCACGCTTGACCCAAACCTACAATAAAAGATTGTCTGAAGACAGAGAATATAGCTCGAGTACTGCGGTGCATATGCACAAATTCATTGCGATTTAATCGCATCTAATCTAATCGATGATAAATCGACGTCTGTAGCGGCTCTTGCTCATAATTGATAAATACGAAGTGGTCATAGTACGTTGACACTGCCTGGGAATTACTGTCTGGTTCTTCGGGTACCTGAAATACAATAGAATAATTTCTCTCGAATGTTTCCTCCCTTGGCTACTGATGAATTATTGAACAATCACAATGAACTATTGCTTCGAAGACAAGAGAAGGAACAACTTTACGTTTGAACACTGCCAATGATTCCTAACAAGAAGAGGAGCCAGAGATTCTTTATGACTCCCATGGTGGAAGAACGTCAACTATAGTCGGACTGATAAGGTTGCGCCTCTCACAGCGTACCCTCACTCTATTCAATCCCCCCACTCACGTCTACATCCCTCGTCCCTGAAAACTAAAAGTACGCTTAACCCAAAGCTACACTAAAACATGCTCTGAACATAGAAAATAGATCTCGAATACTGAGGTTCAGAAGCACAAATGCACTGTGATGTAATCGCATCTAATCTAATCGATGATAACGGCTCTAGGGTCTCTTGCTCATAGCTGAAAGAATACGAAGTCACAGTACATTGACCCTGCCTGTGGATCACTGTCTGATTCTTCGAATACCTGAAATGAAATACTTGCTCTCGAATGTTTCACCACTTGGCTACTAATGAATTATTGAACAATCACAATGGACTATTTCATCAAAAACAAGAGAATGAACAACTTCAAGTTTGAACACGGCCAAGGATCTCTAACAAGAAGGGAAACCAGATATTCTTTATGACTTTCATGGCGGAAGAACTTCAACTATAGTCAGACTGAGGAGATTGTGCCCCTCACAGCATACCCTCTCACTCCACGCAATCTTCCCTTCCATCCATATCTGTCACCCTTGAAAATGAAGACTGAAAATACTGCTTCCTCAGGCCGAAAGTAAAAGATAGAAAACGTATCTCCAATGCTGAAGTTAGGAAGAAAGGATTTATTATGATTCAATCTCATCTAATCTAATCGACAAGAAATCAACGTTTTTACAGAAGTTCTTGGTTTGTTTATCACGTTTGAACTTTGAGAGTAACAACTACTAATTCCACTGGACTAGAAAAATTCATGTTCTGTAACGAAGTGGTGCAATTAAATTGTTATAGTTTTATGCAAAGCTGTCAATGGAGTAGGCTTGAAAGACATTTCCAGGTCTTCTTTTCTAAATCTCTTTATTATCAAAATCGCTCATTTCTTCTAGGAAGGCAACAGAATAAGTTCGATAGAGAAAATGAGATAAAGATAATACAACGACTCAGGTATCCAAGTCTTGCCATCCCCAGGAGAAAGTTTCCAGTAAATTTCCAATTTTTTTCCCTACATGAGGAAATGAAAAAGCCGGTGAAACAAAATATTCGTGACTTTAAATTATGGGCAATCTAGATAGCTAAAATGAATTTAAATTTCTTTGAGATACCTCATAACTTTAATCCAACAAAGCGGGAACGCGAGGTCCAATATCAAACTTCACGATTCTTAACCCTTCCAACTCCTCCCTTCAAGAGGTATATAATTGTTAACATTATAAATTTGAAATTTGAAATTAAATTCAAGAACGCATGGTATGGCAACTTTTATAACAAACTTTACTAGCCTTTAACGTTACCCAGGGTGCGTGACGTGGACGCAGCTGATATGTGAACCCCAAAATGCCAAAATAATGAAATTAATTTGACTAAGTCGCAGTCATTTAGTTTGACGAAAAGTCTACATAATTTATTTAGTTATTTCTTAAAATATTCGATGTAAGTATCATCAGATTCACTAAAGTTAGAAAATTGGTGAACTTTCTGGATAGATGACATCACGTGTATGTGAACACTTCTCAGGATAGTCAATATTCCCATCGCAGTCGGTCAGCTTGAATGACTTGTCGAAGCATATTTGGATTTCTGCGAGGTACGACTCATGCTTCGTCTGCAAGAGACAAATCATGAGTATAAATGAGCAATCGCTTGCTTACGAAACGCAACGTTGAACCTTATTACAATAGCAAAATCGATAGCTTACCGGATGGCAGACGTAACTGATAACACATCGTTTTCCCAGAACCCGACTGACCTGATCGGCAATGTTTTGAACAGGGTATGATTGTCCTGGTAGGATATTCACCTTTTCCAGGAGGTTCTTCACGTAGAACTTGTCACGGAGTTGCATTGTCTTTTTGAAGTACTTCTCCTGCGTATTGACAGGTTGAAGCATTGTTGAACATGTTCCATGCTTCTCCCACTCGTGTTCCCAAAATGCCTGAGATGGTTTGTTCTTGGCTAGAGTTGGCCATGTGGCATTCAGTTCTTTTTCTATTGACGCTATCGCCGTGGCGTTGAATCTCGCGCTATTATCGCAGTATGCGGGCTTCTTAGTATGTAATTGTGTCGGCCAAAGTCCGTGGATTGTCCATCGGCTATCGTTGAGTGATTTGCAAAGTTCTGACGCACCCTTCTCTTGAAACGTGAAACATATAGTCTGCGGCCACTGCTGGGTCAGCTTTAGAATTTCAAAGTGTCTTCCTGTTGAGAAATCCGTGATCTCCAATTCTTGCGGAGAATCTGGTATTCTGGGATATCTGTAATATGATGGATACTATTAAGAAGAATTATTGGAAAGTTGGAAGAAACATTAGAAGAATGCAGAGGAGATATCATTTCTAAAAAAAAAGCTTGAGCAATATCTCGAAACGAAAATGAAATAATAATTGTCCAAATCATTCAGATCAAATTCGGAATATTTCCGAATCTAAGGGAGGTAGCGAAATTTTTGTAATTACATTTGTTGTAGCAATCAATCAGCTCCACAAAAAAGATTATAACAAAAATTTTGCTATCTTCCTTAGATTCCGAGATATTGATTGAACACTTGTCAAAAGTCAAAATTGACTTATCTCCTTTTACCACTTCGCTACTGATTTTATCCTGCTGTAAATAAAAATTACCGTGCCGGTAGAGTAAAAATTATTGTACCGGTAGGGTAAAATTTACCAACCATTCTAGAATTTTCGTTGTTATCTACATAAAAATTCTGTGGACTGGAAGGGTAAAATTTATTATGCGTTAGGATAAAATTTCTCTAACGTAGAATAAAATTTGATCATCATATATTAGTTTTTACTAAATTTCGGGATAGAAATGAGAAAACGATGACTCATGATACACTTTTATAGAACGGCAGGATAATTTCTGTAAAAAATTTCTCTTCATGTATGATTATTTTGAATTTTTAAGCAAATTGAGTAACTTTACGTTTCGACTCTGACAACTAGAAGACCTCCGACAATCAGGAGAAAGTAGTGAAGATTTCGAGAAGTCCCCATTTTTGAAAGCGATCCGTGACAAAAAGAAGTCCTTCCCCAGCTATTAAAATGCAAAAACTATAACATTGCTAGTGCTCTGGCTCCCTTTTATGTTCTCCGATTGTCCGATTATCATTTAATACTTTAATTGCTTTCTCGTCTTATCATTCATCTTATCTGATTTCTTAATTAAACATTATCGAATGATTAGCGTGTACAAGACTTTACGTTGGCGAAATTAGCAGAAGACGAAACTTGAAATACTGCTAATTCTAGTTTCCAAAACTTTACGTTTTCGTCCCCGCAATTTCCATTTGCACCAATGTTAAATTATTTTTTAATGCCATTCATTAACTATTGACGAATTGTGTTCATAGCCAAGAAGATTTGTTAATAACTACAGAGAAAAACAGTTTTGATTTTCAGGAACGTCATTGATTTTCAGAAATTTATGCCCAATCATTAGGGGTTGGAAATAATCATTAGCAATTGTGAAATCAGTGAGTGCCAAATTATGAAATTCGGTGACATTGCTACCAAATTTCACTAATCTGAGTTTTTGAGAGATATCTCAGAATCTAACGGAGATAACGAAATTTTTGGAATTACTTTTTTTGTAGAGCGAATCGCGGGCTATAGAAAACGTCATATCAAAAATTGTGCTCTCTTAGATTCTGAGATATTCATCAAAAACTGGCGAATAGCCAAAATCGACTTGAACCGTTTTACCGCTTCGGTACTGAATTGGTGATAGATTTCTTAAAATCAGTGACATGTCCCAGGAAATCACTGACATCTCTCTGAAGATCAAAACTTTTTTTCTCATCAGTGCAGCCACGTTATTTTTCACTCAATCAAGATCATTTTGTGCTTAAAATGTGTGGAATATTATCAATACTATTGGAGTATACATAACTCCATACCGATAAAATGATCCCTTCATACAGACATCGACAAATAAAGGCCGCGAAATTTGTACAACAATGGGATTCAGCAACAGATATCTAAAAACCTTTATTCACTAAATGCCTATGAAATATTTGTTTTGGAGACATCTTCACAATAAGGTACCGCAATCGAAATACATCGAGTGCCTGGATACATTGATTGTCTGGATTAGATAGTCGGCGGTCTATCGGGATAGATAACATTTCTCGTCGGTGGACAGTTTGTTGCATATCCTTTGCAATCGACCAGATTTAACGATTTATCGAAACAGACTCGGATCTCCCAAAGATAAGACTCTCGCTTCTCCTGTAACATTAGGACGTGGAATTAATCCGTCTTAATTAGTATCATATTATTTTGGGAATTATTAGTGATGCCGTCGAGATTACACGGTAAATTTTTTGGATAGATCATCACGGTTAGAAAAAACATCGAAAGTTTTGGAATCGTCGCAATCTTGAAAAACATGGGATCGGTGCATCTCGTCACGATTTTGGGAGAACTTATCGTGCCTGGCTCTCGACTTTTTCTGTTTTTTCTGTTTTTATATCACCGCTATATCGCAACGATTCCAAAACTTGATGTTTTTTCAGACAGTGATGATCTATACAAAAAATTTATCGTCTAGTCTCGACAGCATCACTAGGAATTATTAGTTCTAGGGGAAATTATCAAGAAACGGTGTGCGCAGTCATCGAAATTTCCAACGTTCTTGCGGTTTTCGTGGGGTTAATTAATCATGAGATCGTGGCAATAATGAGGGACTTTAGGAAAATCATCGCAGAACCTTTTATTGGAAGGAATTTCCTTTCCTAGGGAAGAAGGTTTCTTGCACTTTTCTTCTAGAACTCTCATCCTCGATGGGTTTTCACCAAATTTGCATATGGTTAAAAAAAATGAAATTTTTACGTGCAGAAAACAATTGAAAATTGAAAAAACGGCATTGCATTCGATTTAAAGGGGAAAATCATGAAATTTTAGATTTCACTCCAAATTCACAGAAATTTCCAAATTTTTAGCTACGAGAAGACGAAAATTCCTCAACTTACTTGAATTTTCAATCAAATCGTGAATATTTATTACCAAATTTCGCTGAATTTTTCTGATTTCTTTCGATTCTCATTAAAAAAGTGAACTAAAATTTACAGTCCCTATCGATTTTTTCCTCAAATTGTGAATTTTCGATGGAGAAATGCCTTGAAATTTCAGTGGAACTGCTACTTGATGAAAATTTCGATGGGCTGCATCACACGGAGAGAAAAATTCAATAAAAAGTGTGAGTCGGAACTGAAATTGTACGAATCGCCACGTAAATTCTACGTTTTGTTCCTTAAAAATTAACCACCCGTCTGATGACTCACCGCTGTGGGAACAAGTCGTTCCGTAATTTTTCATAAAAATTGTTGAACGTTCAAGAATTTTTGATTTTGGTGGCATAATAAGTCGGGGAATTTCTGTAAAATTTTACTTCTTCGGGAAAAATTACGTAATAATTTCGTACTTTATTCGGTGATGAACCTGAGAATTCCCTAAACGTTTCAGATTTCTTCTCTTCGATTCCCATAAAAATTACCGGAAAGCGACTCCCTATTGGGGATTACGTGAATTGTACCGTAATTTTTACTGAATATATCTCTCCGTGCAGAAATTTGTATGTAATGTCGTATCGTTGACCACAATCATCATCCAAGTTGGAATTCTATCGAAAAATTACCGAATTAGTGATGCAGGCGACTTGACTCCGCCGCCCCAGAACTTTATTGACTCCATTGAAGATAGCCTGAGGGGAATAAGATCTTCCGGGAACGACATTAGCTTTCCTCAAGATGTCTTGAATGTTGTAGATATCATTGAGCTCCAGAGCCTTCTTGAAGTACTTCAGCGGGGTGTCTAATTCTTTCAGTGAAGTAGAGCATGATCCATGCTTCTTCCACTGGTAACTCCAGAATGATTGGTGTGTCCTTCGACCGTCGATAGTCATCCACTTCGCTTTCAGTTCACGCTCTAGTGGGGCTAGAGCTGACGCTTCAAATGTCCCACCATTTTTACAGAATTGTGGGTTCTTGGTGTTGAACTCCGTGGGCCAGAGTCCGTGGATTGTCCATCTGTTGTGATCAGGAAGGTTGCAGGAGGTGCCGCCCTTCTTCTGATGGGCGAAGCAGGCGGTGTTGGGCCACTGCTGGGTGAATACTAGGATGTCGAAGTATTCGGTTGCAAGATTAAAGAAATTTGAGGAGAACTCTTCATCGGGGAGGTGAATTCTTGGAGAGCTGAAAGGAATTAGAGAGTTATTTTACCGTTCTTTTATGGAGAATAGGTACAGTTCGAGAAAAAATTTGCTCTGTCGTAAAATTGTATGATCCATGGGAGAATATTTGATGGAGTGGAGCAGATTTACTGGAGGGAAATTAACCAACTTAAGGATGTTTATGCAAAATCGCATGTACTCGAAAAAAATTTGATTTTTTAAAACTGAGAGATGAAGATATTCCCTTCACTTTGATACAAATTTCAATCCATCAATCCATATTCATTATTTAGAAATGAAATATACAAAATGCGCTAAATGCATGCGCTAACATGCGCTTATATGGGATAGAATCATTCTAATATTTTCCCTTTTTGCCCGGGTACCCCACATTTTTCTCTGGTCATTGGATTCCGTATGATTTTACACATTACCTTCTATTTTTATTTCTATTTTTAGACTCTTCTAGTACACTGATAGAAAAGGTGGAACGATTCAGTTGCACCAAACGAGGCTTCTTAACTGTCACCGCGATTCGTTAATAGTTAACGAATCGTGGTAATAGTTAAAAAGTTGCGTTTGGTTCGACTAAACCATTCTATCAGTGTAGGTGAATTATCAATTTGAACATAAATTTCATAAGTCCGTGTATAAGGAAAAATGAGTTTATTCATTTCTGCCGAGACTATTGCAATTATTGTTTTTTTTAACGTTAGAAAAGTTAGTTTTATATGCTCTGCTGTCAGCGGAAAAACTACAGAATTTTTCATGACCATGAAAAAAAATACATTTACGACAATTTGCCGACACTGGCTAAACATCCTTAATAGAAGGAAATTTAATATCTTTCACGAAAATTAAATTTTTGGCGAGATGATCAGAAATATTCCGAAAAGAGTGAATCACGAATCAGAGACTTTTATATTGAATGAATAGAAAGTTTATGCCGAGGAAAATCTACAGATATTAAAAAAATATAACCCTCGCTTACGCTCAATCGCTTTGAGTTTGAAGGAAAGCAATATCTTATTTTCCTTCTGTCAAACTATTCTTGTCGTTTAAAGTTTCTTTACGCTTACGGTAAATTCAAAGATTATTGAAAACTGCAAAAAAATTGTAGAAAACTCCATTAGATTCGGAATTCTTTTTTTTTTCTCAATTTAATTATCGTTTTGGTTTTTCAAACAAGAAATGTTAAAAAATCCGGATTTAACCCAGTGTCTTATGTGGAAATCAACATTTCCATTGTAATTAAAGATTAACATCTGATTTTTTTTCATTAGATGTGAAAAAAAAGATTTTTTTTGCACACCTCATAAAAAATAATCCACCGTTTTGCAAACAAGTTCTATTATTTATTTATAAGAGGGTAATGTTTGAAAAAATATCAATATTTTGCGAAATTTAATTTAGATAATACTGACTGGGTATGAATTTTTTCAAATTTTTTCCATGCAGTTTAGTTGAAAAATTTCAAAACTGAAAATATCCAAAAGTACTTTAAGGAATATTATCTCATTTCGAAAAAAGACATCACCTTTTCATTCAGTAACTTCCTCCTTAGCCCGAAGAGCTAATTTCTTGTCTGAAACCTACCATCAATTGATCAAATACGTATGCAATGTTTTTCGCTCAAGAAATTATTTTTGTGATATTATATCGATTTTTTCTCAGTGCATATTTGGATAAATAAAATCAAGGATTAAAATGAGAAGAAGGAACTCTGAAAATGAGAAAACAATCAGGAAATTCCGTTCTGCTGTTGCCGAGTTATTGACTATTGAAGGCGGTCCGTTTTGCCTCATTCTCTCCTATATAAATTGACAATCTAAAGAAAATGCCATTAATCAGGTGGATACAATAGAATAAGTTTACTTACCTTCTGACACTAATGATCAGAAAAATCTCCAAAAGAAGAACATGAAGATTCCAAACAAATTTCATTGTCGAAAAATCAAAGAGTGATCGGAATCAAACTGTCGGCTGTAGCCAGATGTTCACTGGAGTACTTATACCTGCCACGGTTGGCAATTAAAAAGCCTTGAGTATTGTACAACGATTGAGAAAGATAAAGTTTCCAGTGCTGTCGAGACACCGTCTTTCGGAGATCTGTAGAATGAATAAAAATCATAAATTTTCTGATTCTACCAAAACTTTGTCGTTTGTTGGTTCATGTACTGCTGATTTCCTTGGGCAAACATTGCATGGTGATTATGCTTGAGATGCATCGAAATTGAACATAACGCAGTCATTCGTTCACTCATTCGTTTATGATAATTTTTTTTCATTCAATTTAGTGAGTTCTTGATCTTCAATTACAAATTTTACATGATTAGTGTTCATAATATGCTAGTGATCACATAGTAATTCGTGAATTCATGAGAAAAAATTAAATAGTAAATTAGAGGTGTAGAAGATTCGAAATTGTAGATTCGATGAATTTTAAAAAAATCTCTTCATTGTTCATTAACTTGGGGGAACACCGCATGGCGATTATGTTTGAGATTCGTCAACAATTGAACGCAACGTTTTTTTTTATTCAATTTATTCAGTTCTTCATTTTCAATTACAAATTTTACATGATTTGTGTTGATGATATGCTTGTAATCACATGGTAATTCCGTCAATTAACGAAAAAATATTAAATAGCAAAGTATACGCGTAGAAGATTCGAAATCATAAAAAATATTTTTTCTAAAAATTATTATGCCAAATTCATTCAAAAAATATTTTTTGAGATTCACTAAGATTTTACCTATAATGAAGGCAAACCATTTTATTTAATGATTTTATTCAAGAGAACTTTTTTGTTTGCTAACAAATTATTTGCAAAAAATATCTCTCCATGAATTTTAAAACGTCTTCGTTGGTCATTTTCTTGGGCAAACACCGCATGATGATTATGTTCGGGATTCGACAAAAATTGAACATAAATCAATCATTCGCTTCTTCATTCGTTCGCTATAATTTTTTTCTTCTAATTCATTCCGTTCTTAATTTCTAATGACAAATATTACATGATTCGTATTCATAATATGCCTGTGATCACATGGTACTTCCGTAAATTACCGACAATATTAAATAGCAAAGTATACGTGTAGAAGGTTCGAAATCATAAAAAAATATTTTTTCTAAAAATTATTATGCCAAATTCATTCAAAAAATATTTTTTGAGATTCACTAAGATTTTAACTATAATGAAGGCAAACCATTTCATTCAATGATTTTATTCAAGAGAACTTTTTTGTTTGCTAACAAATTATTTGCAAAAAATATCTCTCCATGAATTTTAAAACGTCTTCGTTGGTCATTTTCTTGGGCAAACACCGCATGATGATTATGTTCGGGATTCGACAAAAATTGAACATAAATCAATCATTCGCTTCTTCATTCGTTCGCTATAATTTTTTTCTTCTAATTCATTCCGTTCTTAATTTCTAATGACAAATATTACATGATTCGTATTCATAATATGCCTGTGATCACATGGTACTTCCGTAAATTACCGACAATATTAAATAGCAAAGTATACGTGTAGAAGGTTCGAAATCATAAAAAAATATTTTTTCTAAAAATTATTATGCCAAATTCATTCAAAAAATATTTTTTGAGATTCACTAAGATTTTACCTATAATGAAGGCAAACCATTTCATTCAATGATTTTATTCAAGAGAACTTTTTTGTTTGCTAACAAATTATTTGCAAAAAATATCTCTCCATGAATTTTAAAACGTCTTCGTTGGTCATTTTCTTGGGCAAACACCGCATGATGATTATGTTCGGGATTCGACAAAAATTGAACATAAATCAATCATTCGCTTCTTCATTCGTTCGCTATAATTTTTTTCTTCTAATTCATTCCGTTCTTAATTTCTAATGACAAATATTACATGATTCGTATTCATAATATGCCTGTGATCACATGGTACTTCCGTAAATTACCGACAAAATATTAAATAGCAAAGTGTAGAAGGTTCGAAATCATAAAAAAATTTCTTCTACAAATTATTATGACAGATTCATTAAAAAATACTCGTTGATATTATCTAAGATTTTTCCTATGGCGAAGGCAAAACATTCTATTTAATGATTTTAGGAATGTCTTCGGAACTAATCGATTCGAGAGAAAGTGTCGATAGAATTTGTTGTTTGCCAAAAAATTAGCTACAAAAATTTCTCTCGATGAATTTTTTTAAATGTCTTTTTGTCTTTCTTCAGGAGATGTTTGCAAAGTAATTGACACATGAATTTTAACCAAATAAAATGAGTCAAAAAATCTCATGCAGATGACCTTGCAAAAATCTCCTGATATTTTTTATTGAAATTATTGGATTTAGAGATGTTTGCATTTACGATTGCAATTTACTCTGCAACTTCAGGATCTGCCTGTCGTTCCGCAAAATTGAAGCTAAATTATCGTGCAATTAAAATTGAATTACGTGGTATTGATTGGGAACAATTCCCGGGTACATAATCTCTCTCTTGGGAGAGCAATTTGTTGGAAAACCCACGATTCCATTGCAGTCGATTAGATTTAATGATTTATCGAAGCATATCCGGATTTCGAAGAGATAGGACTGCTTTTCTTTCTGAAAACAGAAATTACATCACGTGGATTATATAAAAACCAATTTAAAATTTACCTTCCATGAAAACTTGAGAAAATAACGATAAATTGAATTGAAGGGTCACAGGGTCATAAGGGTCAGATTAACGATCAGAATAAGGGTCATGTAGGTCATGTGGGGCTCTCTCTCTATCTCTCTATATTATGAAAATTGAAATCGACTTCTGGTGATGAAAATTTGGTACTCGAAATTAAGACTCAATAATTAAGGGTCACAAGGGTCAAAATAAGGGTCATGAGGGTCAGAGTAACCATCACAAGGCCCAGAATAAGGGTCATGACGGCCAGAATAAGGATCACGAGGGTCATGATGGTCAGAATAATGGTCCGAGAAAGGGTCACAAGAGTCAGATTAAGGGTTACAAGATCAAGGGTCGGATTAAAGTTCGTATGGGTCAGATTAAGGGTCACAAGGGTTAGATTAAGGATCATATGGATCAGATTAAGGGTTACAAGATCAAGGGTGAGATTAAGGTTCGTATGTGTCAGATTAAAGGTCACAACGATCAAATTAAGGGTCCAAATAAGGGTAAGAAGGGTCAGATTAAGGGTCTTAATGGGGGTCACAAGGATCAGATTAAGGGTCACAATAATAATCACGAGGGTCAGAATAAGCGTCATGAGGGTCAGAATAATGGTCCCAATTAAGGGTCACCAAGATCAAATTAAGGGTCCAAATAAGGTTAACAACGGTCAGATTAAGGGTCTAAATAAGGGTCACAAGCGAAGCGAGCATGAAGCGTAACCCCCTAGTAATGCAATAAAAATTTCCAACAAACATGCCGAAAAAAAATTCAGGCGAAAATTGTCAACCCTGCATTTCAGAAAATGATTAATTACCTTATTAGACACGCATTCCACTTGACAAGTCTTCCCTAAGACCTCCCTGACCCCATCCAAGATAGTCTGAACAGGGTACGACGACCCAGGATGGATATTTGCCTTTCCAAGAACATGCTTCATGTCATAAACATCCAAGAGCCTCAGTCCCTCCTGGAAGTACTTCATTTCCGAGTTCAGAGGCTCAAGCACAGCTGAGCACGTGCCATGCTTCTGCCACTCGTGTTTCCAGAAAGAGTATGGCTTCGTGCCTTTCTCAACATCAATCCACTTCACCTCCATCTCCTTTTCAATTGGCGCGAGGGCTGTGACATCGAAATGCAGACTGGGGTTGCAGAACTGGGGACCAAGTTTGTGGTACTGCGTCGGCCATAATCCGTGGATTGTCCACTCATCGTCCTGTGGTAGATCGCAAGTGTTGGAGGTAGATTCTTTCTTCCAGGTGTAGCAGACTGTCTGGGGCCAGTGTTGAGTGAAGATGAAAATGTCAAAGTCTGTGGAATTTCTGGTGGGTTTTACGCCACGATTTCTTGAATTTTTTCTTCTCCTTGCTTGACTGAAAAAAAGGATCAGGGCAATGATGATACACTGTGAAAACAAGTGGATAATTGCATTTTGTTATACATTAGTAGCGCTATTGTTGCTAGTAGATTAGCAATTTACTTCCGAATGCATTCTCCTTTTTCAAAATTCTTATTTCAACATTCTCTTCTTCAATTTTCTCGTGGCATAGTACAAACAAATCTGTCAATCCTGAACATCACAAAAAGGCACCGTAAACGCGTAATTACCTTTCAATCAAATCCCCAAGAAATAAAATTTAAATAAAAGAACGAGAAGAAAGAAATGAAATATCTCACATCTGAAAAAACTTAAAAATTGGGAATAGTATCCTGAAAATTAGGGATGAATCACTGAAACTCAAAACTTTTTCCTGTCCGTAGATTTAGAATACGAAAAGATTTCTTTGTGTTGTTGATATCCTCCCCTCATTACCTAAACAATTCATAATCACGAAAACTGAAGCATTCAACTCGTTAAATTTCCTTCACAACTAATCGATAAAAAATAATCTAATCGCTCCCTCCACGATTAAAAGAAAATCATTCAATCACCGCCAGTTTCATGACTCACTCAAATCTCGGTTCAAGTAATCACTATCAGTCACTTTCTCTCAACTTCTCATTCTCCCAACCGATAAAAATACTACAACTAAAAAAAGATAGATATATCTTGCGTTTGAGCACGCGTAAAAATTGGAAATAGATTTTTGAAACTCAAAACTTTTTTATCTCCATGGATTTAGAATACGAAAAGACTTCTTTGTGTTGTTCATTTCCTCCATTGCAAACAAAAATTGCAAAATTTTCTCCTGAAACCCCTCATTACTTAAGTAATTCATCATCACCAAAGCTGAAGCATTCAACTCTTCGAGTTTACCTCACAACTAATTTGTGAAAAATAATCCAATCGCCCCCTCCATTACTCCAAAAAAATCAGTCCTTCACCCCCACCAAATAAATTTATGACTCGCTCAAATCTCAATTCAAATAATCACAAAAAAATACTTTCCCTCAACTTGTCACTCACTCAAACGATAAAAATACTACAACTAAAAAAACGTTGAACATACAAATCTGATAAACCTGAGCATCACAAAGGCACCGCAAACTCGTAGTTATCTCTCAATGGAAGCTCCGAGTAATGAACTGTAAATGAAAGAACAAGAAGAAAGAAACAAAATATCTTACGTGTGAGCACACACGAACAGCACCACCAGGATCACAACCAAGAATTTCCCCTTAATTTCCATTTCACGATTCCACTCCAATTCTTTATCAAAAATTAAATATTGAAAGAAAAATTAAATGTCTCATTGACGTACGGCAGCTGTGCCCACGCAGATGTTCACTGACGCCAGCCGTTGAGAAACATTTTACTCTGTACTATTTCCAACGACCTCCCTCCACTCACAGAAGTGGCATTCCAAGCAATCAGCCGTTGGTACCTGAAGGCTTTGTGTCGTCACAGGTAGATCTGCACTGCAGCTATCTCCCCAGTTGTATCGCAATACGGAAAAAATGCATGGACATTGCAGTTTGACTCCGTTTCAATCGAAATTCGTTATTGAAATCGTCATTCGTTATAATTCTGTTTATCGAAATTAATGCTATCGAAATCACTCGCACGTACCGTTCTAATGCAGATGATCGGGGAATTTGTTATCGTACGAGGAAGAGATAAGTGTTATCAGAGCGAGTGGGGGATAATAGGTAGCGCCACTGGGAGCGTTGGATTACATAGAACCGAACAAAGAGTCTAATTGCACTGGGGTTTACGTAGAGGTATCGATTTCTGTGGGAAACATCGCGGCATGACGTTGTGGATATCCGAGGAAAGTTGCTGAGAGAGTTGTCTTCGTTATCTTACTTTCGCTGAAAATCTATTGATCATTTATTTAAGGATGTTTGTGCAAAATTGTTAGCACTAAAATAGTATCACCCAAAAAAAATGACTTTTTGACACGCTGCTACGTTCACCTCGTGCCGAAATAGTATATTTCGTAACGAGTGCAAAAAAATTATTCTCGCCTTCGGCTCGTGATATAATCCCACGAGCTAAAAAACATTTTTTCACGAGTTACGAACAATATTTTTCATCACAATGTGGCGGAAATTGGACTTTTAGGCACGCGGAGCGTGCCGAAAAGTTCACTTTTCGTCACAGCGTGATGAAATAGTATATTTCGTGACGAGTGCAAAAAAGTGTTTTTTGGCGAGTGGGAGGTTTATATCACGAGCCGAAGGCGAGTGATATAATCCCACGAGCTAAAAAACATTTTTTCACGAGTTACGAACAATATTTTTCATCACAATGTGGCGGAAATTGGACTTTTAGGCACGCGGAGCGTGCCGAAAAGTTCACTTTTCGTCACAGCGTGATGAAAATAATTTTTCTTCACTTCGTGTCTGTTAACCGACGTTTTACAGCTACTGTGATGGAAATACACTTTTCAAAACGGTTTAATGTGCGTAAAGCGGTTATTTCCGCACTCCGTCCGTAAAGTTCACGGGCGTGCGTAAGGGTGATGCCACAATGGACGCCCCGTGAAACGTACGGAATGCGTGAAACAATTATTCAACTGTTCTTCGATCATTTTTGAGAATAAAAAAGATGCGCTCCGGCGTTTTTCTCACGAAGGGACCAATCTAGGGTTAAATAAGAAATTTCCACTGGGATTTGGTTCAACCAATTAGCAGAGGAAATATGGATCATTTTTTTCAATGATTGATTTATTCTGTCATGCTTTATTTTTGTTTGACTCAAGTTCAACTAGAAAAAAACACTCTAAACAGATTAATGATATAATTTATAATTATTAATTGACTCACTGGTTAAACCCGCTGATCGTCTCAGCAAGCATACATTCTTCGAATTATCCGTATTAAAATCGTGAAAATTCTAGAACTGCGTCTGTACAATTTCTCATTTGTCATAAATATAAAATTCACAAAATTTTTATCACTCCATGCTTAGATGACTCTTCACGAGTCTTCCGATCAGGTGTAACGCTTGGAACGTCTTGTTGGGCTGGAGACGCTGCCTCAGTAAGTAATAAGTGATCGCCCTGAAGACTATGAGGATGACGATGAGGGCGAGGAAATTACTCCAAAATCCGGACTCCACCATTCCTAATTGAGAAAGTGGAAATTCGAATTCATTATCGTCAGACGTCACTGAATATTTTTATTGATGGTGATTTCACGTTTGAGCTCTTGTCGATGATAATTATTGAATTATCTTTTCCGTACTGACCTTCACTTTTCCCAGTCCGGGGATTGGTATTGACCCTTCCCTGAACTGGCAAAAGTGAAAGTCACTATGGAAAAATATCGTTCGCGCCTACACGGAGAGATATTTTTTAGAAAAATTCTAGTGTTAGCACTGGAAAAGAGGCGCAAAGTGTCGGCCAAGAAAAAATTCCAGTGCCGGCACTAGAAATTTTATTGGGGAAAACGTGAATTTTTCCTCATATTTCTGTGAAAATTTCACAGAAATACCAAGAAATTTTACCTTAACAGTACTAGAATTTTTCACATCCGGTGGATTGTATTTTTTTCCAGTACTCGTACTAGAATTTTTCTAGAAAATTTCTCTCCGTGTAGTGCCACAGGGGTTTTCTTCTCGTGTATTCGGCTCGGCGTGCCAATTTCACCCTCGTCGAAAATCCCAGTGACACTGTTTCAAGTAAATATATTTCAAATATTGGAAATTTTTTTCTCAGTGTAGAAAACTCGAATATGCTGAAATATTTGGTTCTGATTGGACGTACACAGGTCTTTCAAGATCTCTCCAGACCTAGATTGACCTGGTAAGTCCTAATCAGCTCTGCGACGTACTTTTCCGGAGACCTTTCGAATCCTCAGTTCTTTTCGGTCCTGAGAAGTCCTTCTCTATGCTACCGAGACCACGGGATTTCACGAGGGGGCGGATGATAAAAATTTCCAACAATTCTACCGAAAATTTCAGTCAGAAATTTTCGACAGTGAGCCTTTATTCAAACGTAAACTCGATCATCTATTTGCGTTTTTATTGGAGTGAATAGAAAAATATCGGATTGACATATTTTATTTGATTTCATTACGTATTTGATTCCATTCACATCGAGAATGATTGGAACTCACCCATAGTCCGCAGCATTTCTTTAGGAATGCTGTAATGACAATAGATCTCCGCAGGAGGACAATGGAGTTTCTTCCTCCCATATCCGAAGACAGCGACGCAAAGTGCCTCTAAACCGTATCGTATATAGCTGAGGTACATAGGAAGGAGGCGATAAAACGGTAGTGGCCCTTGCTCGCCCATTCCCTGCACCGCCACCAGCATCAGAGGTACCGATATCACAGGCCCCACGAACATACCATTCTGTAACCGTGCCATTGTTTTTCGTAATTATCTTGGGGGTTTGAGATGCTTATGGCTGTTTGCAGTGCACGGAGAGAAATTTTTGATAAAAATTATCCGACCGTTCTATAAAAGTGTATCATGAGTCCTCGTTTCCTCATTTCCATCCCGAAATTTAGTAAAAATTAATATATAATGATCAAATTTTATTCTACGTTAGAGAAATTTTATTCTGACGCATAATATATTTGAAGTCTAAATAACACGGTGGCGAATAGCCGCGGAGGTGACCAAAGTCGTCGGGTCGCGCATGATGACCAGAATAGGGNGACGCATAATATATTTGAAGTCTAAATAACACGGCGGCGAATAGCCGCGGAGGTGACCAAAGTCGCCGGGTCGCGCATGATGACCAGAATAGGGTTAAAGTAGTATGGTCACTCTCCAAAGTGATCGTTGAGTGTCCGTCAAGAAAATCTAAAAAAATTAATCAAAAAACTATGATTTATAATTGAAAATTCTCTTTGTGAATTATAAAATTATGAATATAAGAATTAATCGATTATTTTTTATCATTTTTCACTTATTAGTCAAATAATGTACCTCCTTTGACTAGCGTCGTTTTATGTGTGGCAACGCTGTAACTTAACAGCGTAGGGAAAACGAGATTTGAAATGCCCGCTTGTCCCCACTCCACTAACGCTTCGTTGCCGCATCTACTCGACACGCAATTTCCGAACACCGAGGAGCAGAAATTATTTATAACTAAAGTCCCAAACGGTCAATAATTTTCATCGATGGTCGTAAATTTTTGTTTTTTTTCCATTTATTGGTATTTTTTTATAATCTAATCTTGGATTTATCATAAAAATCACCCAAAAATGTGATTTGCCCATAAGACTCTGTGTTAAAATCTAGTTTTTCATTAATTCTTATCAACCATACTAAACGATCAATGTACCACAAATTGCACCAGGAGGTTGTTATTGATATTAACTTTCATAAAAAAATTACTTCATATTTTAATCGTGGAAATCGATCCGTGACCATACTACTTTAACGAAAATGGAGTGAATCTCGCTATTGACTTACTACGATGCTGAGGGAACTGCCTATGGCTAGACCCAAAGTCTCAGCAATAAATACACAGACTATGCAAGTGCTGAAGAACATTGCTATTCGGAAGAGCTCCAGCGGTTGACCCACGAAGAAGTAGACCATTGAGAGGTAGATCAGTGCAAGAATAATCTGAAAAAGTTTTTTCTAATGATCAATCGGTACATTGACGGTCAGAGATGAATGTGAACAACTGTTTCTAAGTCCTCCCGGACGGGGCCCTTCGATTACCAAGCGCAGCGCGTGCTCAATACGACTCGAATTCGATTATTTCTAATGAATGGAAAATTATGAAACCGGTTTCTAATTGAAGCTACAGTATTTCGGTTTCCAATGTTATGTGTTTGATCAAGTTATTTTCCATAGATTTGGAAATAATCAATTTTGAAAACAAGCGTTCACATTCGCATGGGTCGATACCATGCGTTGACTCCGTACGTGAGGGGCTAATTACATACACGGAGAGAAAAATTCAATAAAAATTACTAGAAAAAAAACGTAAAAGTTACGTTTCGAAACGTAATCCCTGAGCGAGGTAAAATTCAATAGAAAGTGTGAGTTGGAACTGAAATTGTACGAATCGCCACGTAAATTCTACGATTTGTTCCGTAAAAATTAATCACCCGTCTGATGATTCACCGCTGTGAGGACAACAAGTCGTTCCGTAATTTTTTCCCAACGATTGAGAAATTTTACGGAACAGAACGTAGAAATAACTCACCAGCTTCCTAAAAATTGTTGAATGTTCAAGAATTTTTTATTTTGGAGGCATAATAAGTCGGCCAGTTTCTGTAAGATTTTACTTCTTCGGGAAAAATTACGTGACAATTTCGTACTTTGTTCGGTGATGAATCTGAGAATTCACTGAACGTTTCAGATTTCTTCTCTTCCGTTCCTATAGAAATTGCCGGAAAACGATTCCCCATTGTGGATTACGTGAATTGTTCCGTAATTTTTACTGAATATTTCTTTCTCTGTAGTTGACTTAAATTTTCTGTCCTGTGACTTTTACGAATTACACTTTTGACGTTTCAGTGCTTCTTCTTGATTCGAAATACTATTCTCGTGAGAAGACCCGGTAAACCGCGATTCTAACCTCGCTTCGCTCGGTTTGATCGCGGTTTACGGGCCTTCTGACGAAAAATTGCATTCATCACACGGTCCAAAAGTATTTTCTGACGAATGTGATTATAGGCCTCGCCTTCGGCTCGGCCTACAAAGCCACATTCGTCAGAAAATACTTTGTGGACCTTGTGATGAAAATAACTAATTTCGATACGAGTGATACGGAATGTCCACGAGTGTGACGTTGGCGGCCCGAGGCGAAGTCGAGGGCTGCCAATCACACGAGCTGAATATTTCTGTCTCACATGTGTCGAACAATATTTTTTGACAGTGACGTTACATTCAGTGAGTGCCGAACTGTGTCTTTGTCGTTTACAAGTAAACGAAAAGGAACATTTCGGCACGAGGTGAACGTTTACTTCATCTTTTTGATAATGAATTTATCAAAATTCTCAGTAATTTTTTATTGCAAATTACCATTGACCAACCTGTACTGGAATCGTGGATATTGTTAGTGCACAGAAATAGGGGCTTATTTTGTACCATCTGTTGAAATGCTCTCGTTTCACGAGTTGTACTTGCAGAGGAACTGAAACAGTATTTCAAAAAATTCTCGGTAATTTATTATGATAAGTGAATTCCGCCGCATACTCGTTAGGAATGTATTCCTCAGCCATTTTTTCAAATGAGCAAATTTAGATAAATTTATAACAACTACTTTCTTGGACTTAAAATTTTTTTTTCATTTCTCTAAACCTGATCATTCTCCAGATATTTACAACATAATTTTTATTAATTCCTGAGTCTCATTGATTACATCAAAAAATAGTTTTAGTGATCATTTCGGGAATATCACAAAAACGAATTTTCTTAAATTTTTTTTCAAATCTTCTAGTTTCTACAGAGAAAAAAAAATTTTGATTTTCACGGACATATATAATTGATTTTTAGAGTAATATCACTTATTTTCATGGTTCCATTTCTAATTTTTACAAATCTGTAACTCAATTTCAGTGATAAAAATCACTAATGATCAGATTCATTCTAGTCAGTGTCTAATATTACCAACAATTGGGGATAGATTCCGGGAAATCAGTCACATGTGCCCGAAAATCAAAACTGTTTTTTGTCAGTGTTCTGAGATTTGAGTAGAATCCTAATAGGATTCATTCACTGTCAATAAATCTTCATAACTATCCACCAATATCATAGTTAAATACACTGAGATAAATATCGTCATAATATCACAAACCTAATTTCTTGCGCCAGATATCTCATCTTTTGCGGATAAATTTCTTGGGATACGAATTCCGGATAATGTGTCAGACAATATCAGATTTCGGTGAACTGTTCATAACTTGAACATGAAAATTTCATGATAAAGTGAGAATTTCGTACCACAAGAAATCGGTTTTTTCGTGTCAGAAGATGAGAAAATGACCAAAAATATTAAAAGCTTCAATTCAGTGAATCATGAATCAGAGACTTTCATATTGAATGAATAGAGAGTTTATGCAGAGGAAAACCTCCAGATATAGAAACAATATAACCGTCGCTTACGCTCAATCGCTTTGAGTTCGAAGGGAAGCAATATCTTCTTTTCCTTCTGTCAAACCATTCTTGTCTTTTAAGGAATATTATCTCATTTCGAAAAAAGACATCACCTTTTCATTCAGTAACTTCCTCCTTAGCCCGAAGAGCACCGATTTCTTGTCTGATACCTACCATAAATTAATCAAATATGTATGCCATGTTTTTCGCTCAAGAAATGATTTTTGTGATATTATGTCCATTTTTCCCTTAGTGTACAAACAAATGCATTCGTTATCATTCATTAATAAATTGTATTCATTAACAACTTACTCCGAACGTACATTAATAAATGCACATTTGAGCAGAAAAAATCGGTGCAAGCCTCCAGCCAAATTCACTCTTTGATTTCATTTTGATTTTTATTTCATAAAGATCCAACCGCGTAAGCCCAATCACAGGATCAAATCTTACTTCGCAAAACAATGAATGAGACTATTATCTACACTGAGAGAAAAATATGATTCTTCTGACTATATTCATCACCATCGAATTATAGTCAAAAAGTGCTCAACAATTTTTCATGGGTTACGGTAACTATGACCGGAGAAGTAATTACTACAATGGAATGTAGTCATTGCAACTATTTTATAGTTCTACTCACGATTGATTTGTCGTGGTTACTTTTGAACTTTGGTTATTTTAACTGCATTTTGATTTGCAAAAATTACGCTTGTGAAGTTACTATAATGTTATGTGCCGCATACAAAAAAAAAATTGTATCGTTCACCAAAACTGCCTCAACTATTTTCTTATTGTAAATTGAACTTTAGATTTTTCTCTCAGTGTTTCTCCTCTATTTCTTCGCTACAAAGCCGACAATCAACAACATTGAAACCTGATTCGAATCGCAAAGGAGAACAATCTCAATAAAACCCGTCATCAGCGGTACTTACTGGTCTAAATTTCTCAATTATACTACTCCCATTACTTACAGTGTAACAGCACTGGTAACATTGGAATGAACAGAAAGACAATGAGACAGGCGAAGCAGAAACCAAAGTTGAAGAGGGTTTTTGACCCGTCATTTCCAATCCCCAGGAATAATCCACCGATTACGAAGCCCAGGAAAATGTGCAATGATATTTTCAAAAATACGTAATTCTGAAAATGTAAGAAGGAAGAAATAGAGATGCACTGTTAGAAAAAAAATTAGGATTTCATGCACGCAGAGAAATATTCGATAAAAATTACGTATCTTTTCCGTAATTCCGGAGCGAAATGTGAAAATTTTACGGAACTGTCACGGAATTTTTCCAGAGTGTTCCGTAATTTTTATTTGCATCTCCTACACTGATAGAACAGATTAGTTATTGTTAACGAATGGATTTTGGTTGGAGGTTAGGGACTATTCGGTCTCACCAAATGTTGAGGAGCCTTGTTTGACTTGACTTTCGCCATTCAAGTGAACCATTCGTTAACTATTAACGAATATTCATTTGGTCGTATTCAACTCTAGCATTCGTTAATAGTTAACGAATCTTGTTTGGAATAAATGAATCATTCTATCAGTGTATGAAGAATTACGATACCGTCGTATAAATTTTCTGAGTCGATTCCGTAATCGGTAAGCGAATTGTGAGTTCCGTAATTTTTACTGAATATTTCTCTCCGTGTGGACATTTGACTAGCGATACTCCAAGACATTTCATGAAACATTAGGAGACAAAACTTTGGAGAGATGGTCTGGTCTCAATGCACATGGAAATCTCGTCTCAATCTCAAAATCCATAATATCGACTCGTCTCGTGATGACTCCGAGACAATTTATTTCATGTCGGTTGCCAGTTTTTCGCGTTTTTTATATGTGGGAAATCGAGGCGAGACAAAGCGAGACAAAAACCGAAATTTTACATTAAAAATACGAAAAACTTGAGAACGAGATGAGATAAATTGACTCGGAGTCATCACGAGAGGAGTCGATACTTCGTATTTCGAGACTGAGACGAGAGGAATGATTTCCGTGTTCATTGAGAATGAGATCATCTCTCCAAAGTTTTGTCACGTAAAGTGTCTCGTGGCATCATTACATTTGACTAGTAATTTTAGGAGAGTGACATTCAACTCAATTTTCGCGCGGGGGGGGGGGATAATTAAAATTTCAGATTTCATTGAGCTGAAATTCCAAATTTTTTGGCGGCAAGAAAACGAAAATTCCCCAATTTACTTAAATTTTCAATCGAAATATGAATATTTAGTGCTAAATTACACTGAATTTTCAAGCAATTGAGGATTCAAGGATATATTTACTCAGTGTATAGAATAAATAACAGATATGTCCGCATCATGATGAGTTGTGTCCTAATGCTTTGACAATTAATTATCAAAAAACGCGAAAAAATTCCGAAAAAATAAACGCGTGACACATTTCGGTCATCTCCGTTTTATTATGGATATTATGGAAAGGGAATATAATAAGCTTTTATCTGGAGTGAATCAATTATTCATTACAATCAAAATATTTTAATTGGAATGGAGAGTTGTAATAAACTTACTCGATCTCGGTAAAATTGCAGCATCATTCTTCGTAATAAGATGTAGAATTGATCCCACCAGGGTATTGTAATACTTGTTTCCTCAATTTCGAGTTCACATTTTGGAGATCTGGAGATTGGGGTAATGGGACACCTTATATCAACTGCCGAGACCATTTTTTCGACGTATTCAGCTCCGTATTCTCCAGAAGAAATTTCGATAACTGAGCAACAAAGAATAATTAATTTGAAGGAAAATTGTGCATCAGGGATCGCCATCAATATTAAATTTCTGTAATATTACAAGAATTTGCCCCTTATATTAATGAAGGTTTAACATATGCTGATCAAATTTTTTTATAAATAGTATAACATTAGTGATCTAATTTTTTCGAATAATGATGAATTAAAATTTGATAATATGGACCTGTAAATTTACCACTAAGTGAATAATTCAAATTTCTTCAAAGAGGATTTTCGATTACACAAATAATAGTCGATCTTCCTACCTCAATTATTGATAGTTAAAATAGTTGAAAAATTCGAATATTTGAATTGATGACACTTGAGTAATCAAAAAATTGAAGAGAGATATTAATTATTTGCCGGTTATAATATTTTACGGTAATTAGATATGATGGATTTGGCTATCTCTGGTTTGTACGTAATTGAAAAAAAATATTTAATTAAAAATCTAGTGCTTTCTGTCATTAACTGTGCGGAATTTCTATAGCAATTCTATTGCAGCTCTGTGATAATATAATTGGAAATACTTATACGAGGGTTATAATAAGGGCCACAAGAATCAAAATAAGGGTCACGAGGGTCCAAATAAGGATCTCAATATATCTCTCTACATTATAAAAATCCAAATCAACTTCTGATGGCTGAAATTTAATGATGAAAATTTGGATCACAAGCGTCAGATTAAGGGTCTCAATAAAGGTCACAAGGGTTAGAATGAGGGTCAGGTTAAGGGTCACGAGGGTGAGAATAAGGTTCATGACGGTCATGTGGGGATCATATGAGGGTCATATTGGGGTCATATGGTGTTGGCGAGCAGAGCGAGCAGGGGGCGTAGCCCCCTAGTAATCAATATAAACAATGGTCGGTATATTTTTGCTAAGAAATTAGGAATTTGCAAATTTAATTTTTTTATAGTGGTGAGTGGGGTAAAATTAAACATGGGGGCAAAATGAAACAGTCAAAAAAACGACTGTTTGACGCAATTCAAGTAAGAAAAATTAATAAAAAAAATTTATTGAGAAATTATTGAAATTATTGAAAAGTTTTGATGGGCGATGATTTTGTCAATGGATTATTCGATTGAAATTCAGCATCACAGTTTCCTTTTTCCCCTTCTGGGCCTCCCCCTGGGAGACCCTTGCTCTGGACTTCGGATTTTGCTGTTTCATTTTCTTTTCAATTCATCCATTGACAAAGTCTTCTCCCGCCGAAACTTCTCAATAATCGTCCATTCTACTGAATGAAAAATTATTATTCTCATCAGTACTCCCAAGAATAAAAAAAGGTGGTAAAAAAAAATTTAATAAAAAACATTTTTTTTGCTTGCATTGCGTCAAACAGTTTTTTTTACTGTTTCATTTTGCCCCACGCTTCCCTATTTTTTTACATTGAAACTGAAGTAGTAAACTCAGCGGTACGATAAATAATGGTCCTTCAATTTTGAAATTACAATGCGGCCTCCGCTTAATAGAATCTTTTTTTTTCTATTCAATGTTTTCATGTGCAAAATTGCTAATTTATACAAAAAAATCCTACAGAGTTTACGAAAAGGAAAGAAAATTCTCCATTTCCCCAACACTTCATTAAATTCAGCACTTAATTACTCACCGAAATCAGCGGGATTGTAGTGAATGGGACAATCAATCCCCATCTGATGGAGAAATGGTATGACTCCATTGGCAGGCCCCCTGTAGGCGCATTGACCCGTAGTGATCACATAAACATGATGAAATTTGGAAAAAATACTAGCACTCGGTGTGTGAATCGAACAAATAACAGTCCTCCCACTCTTGGCTACTCTCTGCAGAAGCTCTATGCATTGTATCGATGATAAATCATCCAAGCCTCTGGGACGAATTTGCGTCAATTAATATAAACGCCCACTTAATATTTTTTGCAATTTTTTGAAGATGATTGATATTTACGTTGTCGGCTCATCTAAGAAGATTACGGGGGGGTTATTGACGAGTTCAAGGGCAATTGACAGCCTCTTCCGCTCGCCTCCGGACAATCTCTCGGTAACTGTGTCTCTCGCATTTGTCAGTCTCAAAGTCTCCAAGATGTCGTCCACCTGGGAATGAGGGAAATTGCTGTCGTTGATTGATTATACTTTCTCTATTTTATGATGTCATTATTCATAATTTATATTACTGCAGACGTATTTCTAACACTAGATTAGTCCGTGCGGGTATGTACTACTCCATGGGGTAAAATGTGTGTCAATTGTAGTGAATAGTATCAATAATAATTGTAGCAATAATAGTAGTAATATCTAGTTTTCCGAAGGAAAACTATCAGGAATGTATTGTTTTTTTTATATAAATATCTACACAGTTCAAAGAGAAAAGTTGGTAGATGTTAATTTTCTTGTATAAACACTGATAGAACGTGGTAAACCGCACTGATAGAACGGATACGTTACTGTTAACGAATGGATTTTGGTTGGAGGGTAGGGTCTATTCGGTCCCACCAAATGTTCATTCGTTAATAGTTAACGAATGTATATTTGAGGAGCCTTGTTTGACTTGACTTTCGCCATTCAAGTGAACCATTCGTTAACTATTAACGAATATTCATTTGGTCATATTCAACTCTACCATTCGTTAATAGTTAACGAATCTCGTTTGGAATAAATGAATCATTCTATCAATGAATTCAGTAGCGAAGTGGTAAACCGGTATAAGTCGATTTTGACTATTGGTCAGTTTTCAATAAATGTGGACGTCCGCATGAAAAGGGACCACTTTGTCGATTCTAGTTTCCGAGATATTCACGTTTTTGTCTCAGCAACTCCCATTTACACTCATATTAACGTGTTTCTTTCATTGGCTCCGACAACGTCATTTTTCACCCTATGAGGATCATTCNTAACGAATCTCGTTTGGAATAAATGAATCATTCTATCAATGAATTCAGTAGCGAAGTGGTAAACCGGTATAAGTCGATTTTGACTATTGGTCAGTTTTCAATAAATGTGGACGTCCGCATGAAAAGGGATCACTTTGTCGATTCTAGTTTCCGAGATATTCACGTTTTTGTCTCAGCAACTCCCATTTACACTCATGTTAACGTGTTTTTTTCATTGGCTCCGATAACGTCATTTTTCACCCTATGAGGATCATTCTCGGCTCAAAATGTGCGGAATGTTATAAATATTATCAGAGTATACATAACTCCATATCGACAAAGTGATCCCTTTTCATGCGGACGTCCACAAATATTTCGGAATCTACACTGAGAGAAAAATATGATTCTTCTGACTTCATTCCATCACCATCGAATTATAGTCAAAAAGTCCTCAACAATTTTTCATGGGTTACGATAACTATAGCCGGAGAAGTAATTACTACAATGGAATGTAGTCATTGCAATTATTTTATAGTTCTCCTCACGATAGGTTTTTCGTGGTTACTTTTGAACTTTGGTTAGTTTGACTGCATTTTGATTTGCAAAAATTACGCTTGTGAAGTTACTATAATGTTATGTGCTGCATACAAAAAAAATCGTATCGTTCACCAAAACTGCCTCAGCTATTTTCTTATTGTAAATCGAACTTCAGTTTTTTCTCTCAGTGTAAGGGAAATAGCGAAATTGTTGTAATTTCCTTTTTTGTAGCTCTCAATTTGCTCTACAAAAAAGATTGTGACGAAAATTTTGCTATTTCTCTTAGATTTTGAGATATTCATTGCAAACTGGGCAATAGTCCAAATCGACTTATACCGGTTTACCACTTCACTACTGAATTATTCACTTGAGATTTTGTTCTATAAAAATTATTGGGCACAAACTTTTTCGTTACTAAATTCAAAAACAAACCCAAGAGAAAAAATGATATAAAAAACATCAACACCTCTGGTTTTGGACAACAATCAGTGCAAAAATTGAATAGAATTTTCAATATACATTCAATAAAATTGCTCAGACACATCAAATGAATAATAAATTTGCACATTGGAATAATGAATGAAGGCTCGCTGAAACTGTAAAATAAATTGTTTATTCACGCTGGGATGATTGATTACAACAAGATCAATCAGTCACACTTACGACAGCATCCTTAGTTTGCCGATCCACGTGGAGTCCTAATTTCAAATCAGCAGAAAAATTCATAGCCTCCAGGACAGTGAGTTTGGGCTGCAACAGATCCTCTTGCATAATGTAACAAGACAGCTTCTTGAATCTCTTCGAATTTAGCTTGACTCCATTGATGGATATGCATCCTGTCATTCCGGTTGACCTTCATCAAATGACAGAAAATTATTGATTTTCTAAATCCATTATTCCTCTGTCCACGTGTTTGCTTTAAGGCTTAACGAGGCTATAAAATCATTCATTAATACTCCGCCGTATTAAGCGCCGCTCCGCACCGGCATAAATCGACGTAATGATAAATTTGAAAGATCTAGGAAAAAAATGATAATAATCAAGAGTGGTCTACACATAGAGAAATTTTCTAGAAAAATTCTAGTACGAGTACTGGAAAAAATTACAATCCACGGGCTGTAAAAAATTGTAGTGCTGTTAAGGTAAAATTTCTTGGTATTTCTGGTAAAATTTCTGGGGATTTCTGTGAAATTTTCACAAAAATACCGGGAAAAATTCGCGTTTTCCCCAATAAAATTTCTAGTGCCGGCACTGGAATTTTTTCCTGGCCGTCACTTTGCGCCTCTTTTCCCGTGCTAGCACTAGAATTTTCTTAAAAAATTTTACTCCGTGTAGATTGTATACTTGAAGAAGCCCCGTGAGATGTTTTATGTTCAGTATTACCCTTAATTACATATTCAAGCTCAAAGTTGCCATGTTTTTCTAAAAATTTGCATTCACGGAGAGAAATATTCAGTAAAAATTACGGAACAATTCACGTAGTCCGCAATAGGGAATCGTTTTCCGGCAATTTTTATAGGAATGAAAGAGAAGAAATCTGAAACGTTCAGTGAATTCTCAGGTTCATCACCGAACAAAGTACGAAATTGTCACGTAATTTTTCCCGAAGAAGTAAAATCTTACAGAAACTTCTCGACTTATTGTGCCTCCAAAATCAAAAATTCTTGAACGTTCAACAATTTTTATGAAGCTGGTGAGTTATTTCTACGTTTCGTTCCGTAAAATTTCTCAATCGTTCGGGAAAAATTACGGAACGACTTGTTGTCCCCGCAGCGGTGAGTGATCAGACGGCTGGTTAATTTTTACGGAACAAATCGTAGAATTTACGTGGCCATTTACTTCGCTCGCGGATTACGTTTCGAAACGTAATTTTTACGTTTTTTTCTGGTAATTTTTATTGAATTTTTCTCTCCGTGTTATACACGGTACGCGGCCCGAAGTTTCCGAATAAAAATTTGAAAATGTAACTACGTATGATATTTTTAGCGAATATTTTCCTTGATAGAGCTTCTAAACACTTTAAAATGAGATGTTAATTTTTTTTCATTTTTTTTGAGGCTTTACTGCAGTGTAATTTAAAAGCGTGACCAACGGAGTGTTAATTATGTACGCGACTGGATAAGTAGTATGCATTGGGAAATTCCGTAATTTCGATGATTGGTTCGATCATTTCGATGATTGAATCGAAGGCTATAATTACAAATTGCTGCAAATCATTTTATTACGATTTTTTTCTTTCTTCGTTTGAAACTGATTGTTCATAACCGAGGTGACGTAATTTCCACGCTAGGTGATTGATGTGCACGGGACTAGTGCAGAGATAATAATAGCTCATGCAAATCGTTTGGCAGGGAATGAGAGTCAATTGTTAGATTTTACTGCATCAAGAGGGAAATTGATGAGGATTTTCCAAGATTTATCATTGTGAGAACGACTTGATTTGGCGGATGGATTTTGTATGAAAACGAAATTATTCTGATTTTTTTAACAATTAATTCTGCACACCCAGAGAAATGGTGTATTTTAATTAAATGGAACATTTAATTTCAATAATAATTTGATCAAAAAGTTTTCATCATTTTTAATTTCCAGCCCGGTGGCCTGGCGTAGTGGTTAAGGCCATTGCCTCACAACGGATAGGTTCCAGGTTCGATTCCTGGCCGGGTAGAATGGTGAGATCTAACCATTTTTAAAGTCTTGATCAATCGCCATATAGTCTCATCAGACTCGAAGCGATATAAAATAAGCATAAAAAAAAAAAAAATTAATTTCTAATTGGTGAAGTTTTTATTTAAATCAAGATAGCATTCATTTGATAGTTAGAACATATTAAATTAATAATTTCATACTGGGAAATTCATGCGCAACTAGTGCAGAGATAATAATAGCTAGACTCTTGGAATCGTTTGACAGGGAATAAGAGTCAATTGTTAGATTTTACTGCATCAAGAGGGAAATTGATGAGGATTTTCCAAGATTTATCATTGTGAGAACGACTTGATTTGGCGGATGGATTTTGTATGAAAACGAAATTATTCTGATTTTTTTAACAATTAATTCTGCACACCCAGAGAAATGGTGTATTTTAATTAAATGGAACATTTAATTTCAATAATAATTTGATCAAAAAGTTTTCATCATTTTTAATTTCTAATTGGTGAAGTTTTTATTTAAATCAAAATAGCATTCATTTGATAGTTAGAACATATTAAATTAATAATTTCATACTGGGAAATTCATGTGCAACTAGTGCAGAGATAATAATAGCTAGACTCTTGCAATCGTTTGGCAGGGATAAGAGTCAATTGTTAGATTTTACTGCGTCAAAAGGGAAATTGATGAGGATTTTCCAAGATTTATCATTGTGAGATAAAAAACTTGACAAAGACTTGACTTGTTGAATGGATTTTGTATGGGAAAGAAATTCTGATTTTTTATCAATTAATTCTGCACACACGAAGGACTGTTGCAGTTGAATTAAATGTAACTTTCAATTTCAACTACAATTGTTGATGAAAAGGCTTCAATTGCATTCTGTTTCTAATTGATAAAGTCTATATTTTAACCAAGAAAACATTTATTCAATTAAAATTTACCAGACGATTTTTAATTTTGTTGTTGATAATTTGACATAAATTTCTCGATAAAGTGTGGTTTCAGGATAAAATATCAAAACAACTTCACAACAGCTAACAAATGATTAATAGTCACAGCAACTAAATTCTTCTATCAGTGCGATTCTTGAGTTTCGCCATTTGACTTCAGTAAAATTCTTACTTGTAACCAGCTAGAATGTTCAATAATGTAGACTTCCCGGCGCCTGAAGGTCCTAAAATCCCCGTGAGTTCACCAGACTTGAACTGTCCACTGACTCCTCTCAGAATCATTTTCGAGCCTGCAATTCAAACAAAGGCAAATTCGAATAAACACTGAGAGAAAAATCTGAAATTCGATTTACAATAAGAAAATAGTTGAGGCAGTTTTGGTGAACGATACGATTTTTTTTTGTATGCGGCACATAACATTATAGTAACTTCACAAGCGTAATTTTTGCAAATCAAAATGCACTTGAACTAACCAAAGTTCAAAAGTAACCACGACAAATCTATCCTGAGTAGAACTATAAAATAGTAGCAATGACTACATTCCATTGTAGTAATCACTTCTCCGGCCATAGTTACCATAACCCATGAGAAATTGTTGAGGACTTTTTGACGATAGTGCGATGGTGATAGAATATAGTCAGAAGAATCATAGTTTTCTCTCAATGAATACATCAACTGTTAATTGTTCATCGTCAATGCCCAGAACTGTGTAGAAATATTTATGATTAATCGATATTTCGAAATTATTATGCACCGAGAGAGAAAACGTTGCAATCCAGAGGAAAAAAGTACTGGATTTCAGCGAAATTTCTCTGAGAATGAGAGAAAATATAATATAAGAATAAAAGAAGTATGAAAGAAATATTTACTGAAATTCAGTGCCCTTGGTATTTAAATCAAGGCACTTTGGTACGGAACTCAAGAACCCTGAGGTTCTTCAAGTAGCTCTCCCCGTATGATGACTCGAGTCATTGAGTGTCTTCACAAAAAAAATTCTAAATATAGATTTATGTTTAAAATAAGTAGAAAATTGCGTTCGTCACAACATACTCAATATATTTTTGCTAATGAATTAGCAATCGCCTCCGAATAGAATTTCCATGACGATGTAATTCAAATTGACTTCAATGCTTCGTTGAATTCAACATTGCCTCAATGTAAAAATTTTTTATCTTTTTCTGAACACGAGTTTCAAAGTAATTTTTTTAAATAATAGATGATGCAATCCATCTCATGATCGAACTCGGTCAAGATGATGTTGGGAAGAATATTTTGAATGATAAGTGCATTCGTTTAAGCAATTATTTTTTCAGTTATCGTCGTAAAACGATCGGTCGTACACACACATAAATACCTCCGGATGTGATGTAACAATACCATATTCGAACGCCTAAGGCAAAAATGAGTTGTCCTGACTAGAGATTTGGGTAACAAGTATGACCGTCATGACCGGTAATTACCGCGGCGAGAATCTGACCATATGGTCAGAGAAATAAATGACAATTGCCTATAAGCATGAAATGACCGAATAAATTTAACTGTCAATTTCCATCTACAATAGATAACTCTCAATTTTCGAATACTAGCCCAGCGATTTCTACACTTTAAAATATTTTTAGCTGAAATTTCCAGTACACTTTTCCGAATTTTTTATGGCATTAAATTTCCACTGAAATTTCAAGGAATTTCCTCATTGAAAATTCTGAATTTCGGGGGACAAATAGATGAAAACAGTCAATTTTCATTTATTTTTCAATTATTCTTTAAAAATTAATAGAACACCGGAAAATTCCGATTTGAAAACTGAAGGGAATTTGACACTGAATATTCATGTTTTCATTGAAAATTCAAAGAAATTGACGAAATCTCATCTTTATGCTTCGCACCATTTTGGTATTTTATTGACTTTTCAGTGAAATCGGAAATTTCATGATTTTCTCATCCCTTAAATTGCATTCTGTGACACTGCAATAAAAATTACTAGTCCATAAAATTTCATTCCCATTCATTTCATTTCATTCATTTTCTAGCCCATGAAATTTCATTTTTTCTCTAACAGTGTGTCATTGAGAATGAGGCCAATTGTAATAATAAATAAATAAAATAATAAATGATAATAATTCGATTCTATTAAAAAGTATTCCGATCGCACCCCTAAAAATGACGGTCATTTTGCATACAAAATTTGGTCAGTCTGGTCAATCTGATCTGATCGAAAGGAAAAATAACGATCATTCCACATCTCTAATCATGACACAAAAAATTTCAAATTTCAAATTTGACGAATACAACGCTTGCATTCGGAAGGAATACTATTTTATTTCATCTTTATAGGGAGGAACAAATGATAACTATGCAGTTATAAAAAAATCAATTCAGAATAACTATTGGAAACAGAATTTCATTATGATTAAATATTCAAAATCGTGTTGTCATTTGATTCCCACGGAACAGTACATTAAAAATCGATAACACGATTAATTTTCCCGCAAATCGGAAAAAAGTTGCCGGTGCAACTGACAATACCTAGTACCTGTAGAAATTGGAGAGGCACGTCACGCATGCGGTACCCCGCAACCTCTCTTTTTTCTACAAACACTCGAATGCACAGCTTGAGACTGTCACCGGTACCATTGACCTACGCGATCGTCATTCTCATTCTCGAGATGACTCGTCAAAACAAAGCATCAAGCCTAGAAGAATACCCGAACAAACATCTCGTAAATAACAAACAATGAAATTAAAAAAACAAATCACTTGAAACATTGAATAAAGTCCCTGAACTTTGGATCGGAAAATAACATAAACTAGAAAATTGCAAGCGGTTTAGTCAAGGTTTTGCATATCTGGAGCTCAGTCATAATATTATTAATGTCACTGTTATCTTAATGGTACATATATTATGGGGACAGAAATTTTATTTTCAGTGTGAAGAACAACATTATTTATTAGCATTTGCTGTCCGATAAGCATGCACCCAGAAAAATGTTTTTCTTGAGTCACATAAAAATCTTTATTTTTAATTTTTTACATATTTCATGAATATTTTTATTACAAGTGAATAAACTTGTTTACTTTTTCCAAGAAAAAGGATGGGACTATAAAAAGCCTAATCAGCTATATGGGAATGAAAAGAAAAATAAATAAACATTTTCATGTATTATGTGGAAGAATTTCGAAGTGTGTTTATAGATTAAAATATTCGTCAGCATGAAGGAAATAATTCTGCCCATCAGTTGGCAAAGAACAGGAAAACTTTTGAGCAGGGATGGCCAGCAATCTTCCGATTCTAATATTAAAAGAATTTCTAACTTACATTAATCAAGGTTTAAATATACAAGATCTACGCGCGCGCTGATCTATTTATTTGTTGAAATGAAGAAATGGAATTCATTAAATTTCATTTTCTCATGAATACCTTATAAATATTGATAATGAATCAAAGAGAATTCGACTAATGATTGAAGTGAGGGGCGAAGTAGAGTAAAAGAATCTATAGAGAATTTTTCATTTTCAATTAATTATCTTCAATTTTTTTAAGTTTACCACTTCGCTACCGAATTGATAATCTAAATTTCCCATTGATGATGAATTAAATATTTAAAAAACATGGAACTATAAATTTTCTGTCAAGCAGATAATACTAAATTTCTTATAAGGGATTTCCTATTTTCCATATAATCGTCAATGTTCCTAACTTAATTACTGATTAATGAATAACTCAACAATTTAATATTTAAATTGATAATTGCTTCAATAATTAAAATTTTTAAGTGATATTAACCAATTGACTACTCAATAATACGTACTGAATCAATTCAATACTCAATCACTCAATCCGCCGACAGACGAGGGATAACCTAAATGTCACCAATCGTGATTAATGATTAATTATGATATTATTAACGAATCGTAATTAATCGACCGGATGAAAAAATTGGGTTCAGACGTCTGGATGATACGAATAAACAATAAATATAGTATAATTATAAAGGTCATGAAGTGTCGAGATCGCACTCGCATTCAGTCGCTATCACCGATAACCCAATCTCTTTCCTCATTTTTATGTTTATCGAGAATTCTGTTTTAAAATTTTCCTCGTGGACTTGAGTACAATGTCATTATCCCGTGTTCTGCACGGGGAGGCCAACTGGGATAATTGAATGCATCGATAATGTTAATCGGGCCACATGTCATGAACACACGGAAATAGACGGCGAAGTTGTGATTTCAACGTTAAAATTGGACTGTCGGGTGATCTCTAGTGTTCATTAAATTTGAAGGTCTGATGTCTCATTGCTTACACAGAGAGAAATATTCAATAAAAATTACGTATCTTTTCCGTAATTCCGGAGCGAAATGTGGTTGTAGGAAATTTTACGGAACTGTCACGGAATTTTTCCGGAGTGTTCCGTAATTTTTGTCTGAATCCCTTGTGAAAAATTACGATACCGTCACTTAAATTTTCTGAATCGATTCCGTAATCGGTGAGTGAAGTGAGAGTTCCGTAATTTTTACTGAATATTTCTCTCCGTGCATCGTATCGACCCATGCGAATGTGAACGCTTGCTTTAAAACTTATTGACAAAACTATGAAGAATAACTTGACCAGACAAACAAAATTGGAAACCGGAGTACTGTAGCTTTAATTAGATATCGGTTTTATAATTTTCTATTCATTAAAAGAGATCAAATTCGAGTTGCATTGAGCGCACACTGCGCTTCCTACACGGAGAGAAATATTCAATAAAAATTACCAGAAAAAAGACGTAAAAATTACGTTTCGAAACGTAATCTGGGAGCGAAGTAAAATTCAATAAAAAGTGTCAATCGTCACGTAAATTCTATGATCTGTTCCGTAAAAATTACTCATCCGTCCGACGCCTCACGGCTAGCCATGAGTCACCGTGAGGGGGAGATTTTAACAACACGTTCCGTAATTTTTCCAGGACTTATCGTAAAAATTCTTAAACATCCAAGGATTTTCATGTGTTGAGGCATAATAAGTCTTGAAGTTTCTGTTAGATTTTACAACTTCCAAAAAAATTACGTGACTTTTTCGTATTTTTTCGGTGACAAACCCGAAAATTTACTGAACGTTTCAGATTTATTCTCTTATTATTCCTATAGAAATTCACTGAAAACGATTCTCGCTTGCGGATTACATGAAATGGTCCGTAATGTTTCTTGAATATTTCTCTCCGTGTAACAGAAGGGCCCCGCCTTCAGGGATTGAACAGAAAATCAATGGAATATTTGATTTTTCAATGACAAGATTTCCTGAAGTTTCAGTGGAACTTGAACATGATAAAAGTTTCCGGAATTTGAAACGGAAAATTCAGACGAAAATTTTCAACAGTGTATTCCTGAAACCTCTCCCGTAAATAATAAAATAAAATTGGCGTCTTCTAGATTCGGTCAACGACTCAGTCAACACGTGTCCCGGCAAATGCATTCAAAAAATCAATGAATCAAAAAATCTGCGTTTCAAATTCAACCGGTGGCGCACGATCTCGGGTCATCAGCGAAGGTTACGGTCGAATTGTATGAGCTCGGCGTCATTTTATTTTCATTCTGCGTATGATTGAACACCAGGAATTCTCACAGAGGAAAAAGTTTCGATTTTCCGGGACATGTCACTGATTTTCGGAAATCATCCCCAGTTTAATAGCGCAGAGGTAAAACGGTTGAAGTCGATTTTGACTATTGGCCTGTTTTCAATGGATATCTCGAAATCCAAGAGAGATAAGAAAATTTTTCTCATGACCTTTTTTGTAACCCTTAATTGGCTCTACAAAAAAGGTTATGACAAACATTTTTCCATCTCTTTTAGATTCCGAGATACTCGTCAAAAACTGGACGATTGTCCAAATTTTCCGTTTCGCTACACTGTTAGAAAATTACTCTTGAAATTGTAAGTAAAAAATCGTGAAATTTTTAGCAACGAATAATTTACATGGAATTTCCATTGATCTTGTTATTGATAAATCAGTCAATGTTCTCGAATATTCAATGAAATTTGATTTCTCAGAGTCATAAAACAATGAAAATGACTGAAAATCGTGAAAATTTAGGCAACTTTTCTTTTGAATTTCCAATCTGTTGCTTAATTTTCGCGATAGGTTTGAAAATCCAATTTGTCATTGAAAATTCAATGATCATTCGTAATGAAAAACTTAATTTTATTGAATTTCCAAGATGAATCAGGATTTCCATGAGCAATTTCGTCTAAAATTGAAATCAAGTTCAGAATATTGAAAATTTAAATGCATCTGTTACGTAAATTTCGAAAAATTTCTAACAGTGTACTGAAATTATGTTCGTCACGCGGCCGAAAACAACTTTTCTGATTCGTGTGATTCACTCGCCTTCGCCTCAGTCTGCAACCCTCGTACTCGTCCGAAAAGTTTTTTCAACCTTATGGCAAAAATAGCTATTTGCTAAGCGTAATTTACGCTAATTTACATATAATGTCCGATGACTTTTTTCCATCATGAAAATTGGAATTTAGACTTCAAAAAGGTGCATTTTACGGTAAAAATAAAAACGTAAATTGCCCCCAAATAAAGCGTCTTTTACGTTTCACTAACCGTATTTCACGCTTAAGAAATCGTAAATTGCGATCTTAATAGAAACACATTTTACGATTTACTTTTGCATAATTTACAGAAAAAACTCGTATTTTACGCTTAAAATAATTTTTTTTTCTTGATCGTTAATTACGGATAATTACGGATTACGTAAAATACGAAATAAATCATCGCAATTTGCGAATACGAAACCGTAAATTACGTTTATGTAACTTCAAGTGTAAAAGACGACTTCTTAAACGTAATTTGCGATTAAGTTTTTCTGTGTGTACTCTGGAAATTAGTGATAGTATCACTGAAAATTGGTGACAAAATCACTGAATTTCAGAATTTTACAATTGGAAATCTCTGGATGAATTCCTGAAAATTAATGACACAGAGAGAAAAAAAAAAATCTTGTTTCTGGATTTCAGCACCACGTTACCGATGGTACCGAATGGAGATAACACGGACCGCAGGGCAAAACGGACCACTGACAGAAAATTGATAATTTTTGTTTCTGCTTCCGAATGGAGCAAATTCGAAGTCATTTGTGGTTTGAGGTGATTAGCAAATCTGATTAAATTGCGGTTCAACGACACTTGTTGTCTATAAAACCCCTGTGACGGTTACGATCCACACGGAGAGAATTCACAATTCGCTCACTGATTACGGAATGGGCTCAGAAAATTTAAGTGACGGTATCGTAATTTTTCACAGGAGATTCAGATAAAAATTACGGAACGCTCTGGAAAAATTCCGTTACAGTTCCGTAAAATTTCCTACAACTACATTTCGCTTCGGAATTACGGAAAAGATACGTAATTTTTATTGAATATTTCTCTCCGTGCAAGAAACTCACTTTTAATTCAAGGCATTCAGTGTTCCTGATTTGAAGGAAAGAAAAAAAACAAAAATTATCAATTTTCCGAGGGGCTAGTCACTTAGGAAATCCCTGGACCACTCGACTGGAAATCAAGGAAGAAATCATCAGAAATCAGTGGAAATCCCCAGAAATCAAGTGACTTAAATTTTCGGTAGTGATTTCCAAAGATTTCAGAAAATCATCGGAAATCAATAGAAATCATAAAGAAATCAAGTGATTTCCGAAATCATTAGAAATCATCGATAAGTGTAAAATCGATATTGATTTTGCAGTTTCAACTCTACAATTTTTGTTATGGTATCGGTGCGTTCAAAATCACTCAATCCCGAAATGCGACGCTATGAAGTTTTTGACATCCTTACGTATTGTAACGTCATGTGAAAAACTGTCATTATCGACAGATGCCCCACTCTGGCCCCGAAATGGTGATTTCTCCAGTGATTTCTTGATTTCAAGAAATCGTGGAAATTACTAGATTACTTGATTTCTTGAAATCAAGAAATCACTGGAATTTACTAGAAATCGTGGAAATTACTAGAAATGAAAAGAAATCATGATTTCTAATGTTGATTGAGAAATTACAAAAATCATTCGAGAAATCACAGAAATCAACAGGAAATCAGAGGAAATCATCTGATTCTGGAAATCACTGAGTCACTCGATTGAGGAGTGACCAGCCCCTCGCAATTTTCTGTCAGTGGTCCGTTTTGCCCTATTACCCTCTTCTATGAATAAATTTGTTACGATTCCGAACAACTGATTTTTATTGATTCTTTATAAATTATTTATAGAAAACGCTCGTTTTTTTTTTAAATTGCACTTCTAAAATTATTTCATCAATCTATCCCCATGAGTGAACTTTTTTCTTCTCATCGTCATATCTCGGAAAAATTTGTACTAAATTTCGGGGAAACATATATAACCAATTTTTCCAATTAATTTCATTTATCGTAAAATTTAGGGAAAAGAGATGACTGACCTTTCCTTCCACTTGGTACCGTGTAGGTGAGCTCCGAGAATTCTATGTCCACTGATGGCATTCTCCTCGCGTGTCCCACGGGGAGAATGCAGGAATTGTTCTTCTTTTCCTCGTACATTGTGTTTTTTCCTCGTAACAACTGCGATTATTCAATTAAGATCTCTCGAGGCGCTCCGCATTATTTACTGGGAAACAGTTTCTGAAGTTGGTCTCTCCCTGGGGATTTTTTATGGTCCTTCACTAAACAAAGAGAAGTACAACGAAATAAACAGTCGATGGATGAAAAAGCAATTTTCTGTAAAATATGGACTCAAATGTTATCCTGAGACAAGAATTTGTCATGTTCCCACCCATTTTGTGACGGGTCAGTGACAGGTCATGTCATTTCTTCGCATCCCTGATAACAAGGGAATGTTTCAAAAGAATTTTAATTTCTTGCGAAATTTAAATTAAATAACTTAATTAATTTTAAACTCTTATTTTTTTAATTTTTTTTTTGCGCAATTTAATGAATAAATATGCTGATTAAGAGAAGCTTGATTTGCTTGACATAAGTCGATTAATGCATAAAATTTTTAGAAACACCGGAATTACCTTAAAGCAGGATAAACATAACATGAATGTTTAAGATTAAGATCTAAAATAAATTCTAAACGAAAGTTAATATGAATGTAAACATTCTGGTTGGGTTTACGCTCAATCGACAGTACAGTATTATTGATAATAATTAAGCTAGAACACGCACGAAAAAATTGAACAGAAAAAACTAGCGAATTCGTCAGAAAATTCTATTGGATTTCTATTGAACTTACTCTTAGTTTTTGACCAATTCTGTAGAAATGTTCAATAGAAAATATTCAATAGAAAAAGTTAATGCGATTCAATTTTTCTATATAACTTATTCTTTTCAGGCATTTTCTATAGAATTTCCTCGGCTCAAATTTTCCAAGTTTTTTTCATTCTATTTTCGTTTTCTTCTCATCAATAAAATCAAACAAAAAACGTTGAAAATTTGCGCTGACGAAATTCTATAGAAAATATCTCAATAGAATAAGTTGTATAGAAAAATCGAATTCTATTGACTTTTTCTGGAGAATATTTTTCATTGAGCATTCCAACAGAATTGGCCAAAAACTAATAGAACGTTCAGTATAAATCCAACAGAATTTTCCAACGAATTCGCTAGGTTTTTCTATTAAATCTTTTCATCCGTGAAGTGCAGCAATAAGAGAGAGTCTTACGAGAGAATGAACTTTTCGAGGTTAGAACCAAGATTAAAATCTAGAAAAAATCTCGAAACGTCAGAAGAAATCAGAAGAATGAAATTTATTGCCAAAGACAAACTTGTAATAAATAATTTATATTTCTGCCTTCCCGAAATGGCGAGAGACTATACTGAGAGAAAAATTTCCTAATACGTAGACCATATTTATTTGAGAGAAGTAAATTCATGAAGAATAGACCCTCTATTCTTCATGAGTAAATTATCTCCAATGGCTTAAGTATGTCTTTTATCATCAAATTTGTCAATTAAATTTCGTGAGAAAAATTTGAAAAGAATCATGAATATTCAGTCATTTAAATTACACTTCGCGCAGAATTATTATTTGTTTTAACATTGGTTGTTTATAAATAAATAATTGAAATGGTTGAAACTTTCGAACACCTTAATTTGTTAGGCACGGAATTTATTTCTGATGAAATTCTGAATATGAATAAATTTGTTACGACTCCGAACAAATTATTTTTATGGTGGAAAATTGATTGTTTATAAATTATTCATAGAATATGCTCATAATTTTTTTAAAAACTGCCATTTTATAATCATCTTATCAATCCAATGATATCATCACCGTTCCGCGTTACATCATGAATAGATTACATATCGAAACATTGGAAGTACGTAAAAAAAACAATGAATACTTGATGATTTTTTGACACAATTTGAGTGAGTTCATTTGCGTTAAAATCATACAAGAATTTTTTGTACAAGAATAATTTAAAGCATGAAAACTTTCTCGGGCCGGGTGGGTTAAGACGCCTGGGAGAATTAAGGTGTTTCGTGTAAAAAGTAAAAATAATGAAAAAAAATTGGAAAATTCATGGGAAAAATGTCTGAGCATTCTGCATCATTGAGAATTTTTGTCCATTTTTTTCAGATCTCAGTCTCAAGAAAAAAAATAATGAAGTTTGGATGTTTTTGTTACCCCTCCAGCTATAATTTCCGAGGTTACCCCACTCTCAATTAGGTAAATTTCCATGGCACCCAAAAAAATAATGAACTATTGAGGAAAAACTAGTGGGTGATAAATCAAATCTTTCTTGAGAACACGTGTAAGTTTCAGATTTTTTCCAGATTTCATAAGAAAGGTATTTGAACAAATGATTCGGAAAATTATGAGTTTCGTGGCAATTACGCCCTCACGCGCAGACGCGAGATTCGAATGTCAGTGAGCATCATGGGAAAGGTATGGGTTGGACCATGGAACTGAGAGAGAGAAAACACTCGACAGGTTTACCAACTCGAGACGCATTTTAATATTATTTCAATAATTAGAAAAACATCCAATAAAAATTATTTGACACCCGTAGCCGATGAGAAAAAAATCAATCAATCTGATAGATAAAATCAATATTCAAAAAATGTTCAAATGCACACTTGAATAGTTACTTAAAAATTGGAAAATTTCGTGCTCAGCGATTGAATCAGGGCTCGAGAACAATAAGACTTCCCTTCCGTTTAACCCCCGGTGATCTACACACGAAACACCTTAAAGTAGCTCCATCCTTACGGTAAATTCAAAGATTATTGAAAACTGAAAAAAATTGCAGAAAACTCGATTAGATTCGGAATTATAATTTTTTTCTCAATTTAATTATCGGTTTGGTTTTTCAAAGAAGAAATGTTTGACAATCAGGATTTAACCCAGTGTCTTATGTGAAAATCAACATTTCCATTGTAATCAAAGATTAAAATCTGAATTTTTTTCATTAGATGTGAAAAAATCAAGAATTTTTTTGACACCTCATAAAAAATAATCCTCCGTTTTGCAAACAAGTTTTATTATTTATTTATAAGAGCGAAATGTTTGAAAAAATATCTGTATTTTGCGAAATTTAATTTAGATAATACTGACTGAGTATGAATTTTTTCAAATTTTTTCCATGTAATTTAGTTGAAAAATTTAAAAACTGAAAATATCCAAAAGTACAGCGTAGCCCGGTTGAAGGATAGAGCTACTTTAAGCGATTGAAGAAAGATTTTGATGGATCAATTTCTTACGCTCATCAAAGTTAGACTTCATGGGAAAAATAATCAATGATGAATATTTTTTTTGGGGCTTCGTGGAGCTAATTCATACTACTTTAATCTATTGACTGTTTCATAACGCGAGTTCTGCACATGTCCCAAGAGATCATAGATAGCAGATATCGGCCACCGATTAAAGTCCTCTATCATCGAAGTAGATCGGCACATATCGGATTCGCCAAACAAAGAGACTGAACGATAGCAAAAAATCACTAAAACCTGCATAAATAATGGATGCGAAATATTTATTCCGTCTAGCCGGCACTCAGCCCGTGACATTGACCACCAATCCATCTGCATTTTTCAATGTTCGCCAGTATTTTTTGCAGATGATAAAAATTGAGAATCGGGGTTTCGATTATTTTCGAGACAGTCTCATAAACAGGATTTCTATAATTTCTACGAATTTTTAATGGCCGATGACGAATCAGGAAGCAGGAAGTGTCTGTTTATCAACAGTTCACACGAGTCACAATGTGGGAATGACATTTGCTGCACTTTGATCGCCTTTCTCACATCAACTCCGCAGGGAAATAATCGAGAGAGATGGTGTTCACAATTATAAGAATTATTTTGCGGATTTCCTTGGAGCTGAGGGATTTGGAAAAAAATATCGAAAAACCTTTTTTGTGGAATATTAATCTCTCAACAAAGGCTTCCATAATTTTTATCTAAATTTATCAGTTCCACGAATATTCGAAAAATTATTTAGTAAATAAATGAAAAGCTAATTAGTTTTCCATTTTTTATACGGAGATGTTGATTTCAGTCTCATTGCAACTATTGGAGTGAGAAAAACCCGAATACAGTTCAATTAACCTTTAATTATTGATTCTTGATCGATCAGATCGTTGTTATCGCCTTCAAATAATTCATAATTTATTTAGCAATTTCACATATATTCGAAAAATTATTTTGTGAATAAATGAAAACTTAATTCAGTTGCGAAGTGATAAAAGGAGACAAGTCATTTTTGACTATTGACCAGTTTTCAATCAATATCTCGGAATCTAAGGGAGATAGCAACATTTTTGTTATAACCTTTTTTGTTGATCCAATTGAGTGCTACAACAAATGTAATTGCGAAAATTTCGCTATCTCCCTTAGATTCGGAAATATTCCTCAAAAACTCAACTGGGAGATAAGTCGACTTATCTCCGTTTACCACTTCACTACTGAATTAATTTTCAACTTTTTCAGTAAAGATGTTCATTAAAAAAATCTTAAAATGAGTGGAATCACCCTTCCTGCGATTATTGAAACGAGAAAACCCCAAATACAGTTCAATCAACGTTTAATTATTGATTATTGATCAATCAGCTTTAATTTATTTTTAAATTCAATTACTCAAGACTCAATGATAAACAGATTTGGATTATACATGAGTCGGAGTATGATGGGTATATTTAATAAAAGGTTAATCATTTAGAAACCTAAATTAATTATTTATGAAATTCAGTTACACTCTTATCAGGAGACAAGTTGGAAAATTTTCTGCAGATTATTGCGCAAATATCTCGAAAACTGTCGGGTTTATAGTAAAAACTTGAAAGACTTTTGTTATAGACCATAAAATTTTCTAAAAAAAAGTCTTGTAATACATTCCTCTAAACCACGTGCACATAACTTTTAAGTATCAATTCAACGTTTTCAAATTAATTCTCTTTCTATTCGGATTCAAAGTCCATCTTCACTAAGTTCTAAATATCAATTCTATTGTTCAAAATATAATTCTGTACAACGGATCATTCGAAAGATCTTTCAAACGTTCGATCACTTTTATCTAGTAAAAAAAACAGTATCTGGATTGTTCTTAACAAAAGAGTAAAAACAAATGATTTGCAAAATCATCTGTTCATTCCTTTTGATAAAATCAGCTGAATCTCAAAGTTTCTCGCAGATTATTTTCAAAATATCTCCTAAACTAGTGGGTTTAGAGAAAAACGTCAAGAAACCTTTTTTGCAGCTCTCAAAATTTCGCACAAAAAATGTCTTTTGACATTTTTCACTACACCGCGTCCTTTCGCAGATATTACCGAAAGTGTTCGTCAACTAGATTTTGAGTTTCCTCGATTAAATAAAGTCACTTCACCATGTAATTCCATTTTACCTTTTTAATTATGTATTTCTTGTTTGCAAGTACACTTTCACGACAGTCAACTAGCCACGTCCATCGCCAAGGCGTAGAAATGATGGAGTGAGGTAGAAATTTAACTATCGAGCGGAGGAAGTCAGTGCTTCGCTTTGTTTTTATTCACCAGAAAAGAAATTTCTCACTGAGGGCTTCACTCTGCGCGCGTTGAACACTCGTTGCGTACTAAATCCAATATCGCACTGGTTCGCTGTACGGTAGCTTCACCAGTAATAGTTCAGCGGCTGTATGTCACTCACTAACACATTTTGAGCCTTTGGGTAATTGATGGGTTGGAGATTCGATTTTTCATATTGTTTTCTTAGCGGGAATAATTTTATAGCGCCTTAACGTTTTATATGCCGGAACACAGTCATTATAATGGAATTACTTGTTCGAGTGGTTTCGTCGATTGATGAAGACGTTCTTTATGACTGGATAATTTTTATTACGAAAAATTGAGTGTTCAATTTATTTCTGATATGGAAGGTGACTTTTTTAAATAAATTACTTCGTAAATATACACGGAGAAAAAAATTCAATAAAAATTGCCACAAAAGAAACGTAAAAATTACGTTTTGAAACGTAATCCGCGAGCAAAGTAAAATTCAATAAAAAGTGTGAGTCGGAACTGAAATTGTACGAATCGCCACGTAAATTCTACGATTTGTTCCGTAAAAATTAACCACCCATCTGATGACTCTCCGCTGTGGGGACAACAAGTCGTTCCGTAATTTTTCCCCAACGATTGAGAAATTTTACGGAATGAAACGTAGACATAACTCACCAGCTTCATAAAAATTGTTGAACGTTCAAGAATTTTTGATTTTCGAGGCATAATAAGTCGGCAAGTTTCTGTAAGATTTGACTTCTTTGGGAAAAATTACGCGACAATTTCGTACTTTGTTCGGTGATGGACCTGAAAATTCACTGAACGGTTTCAGATTTCTTCTCTTCCATTCCTATAAAAATTGCCGGAAAACGATTCCCCATTGCGGATTACGTGAATTGTTTAGTAATTTTTACTGAATATGTCTCTCCGTGTAATTTTCAAAAAAGTCACCTCCCATAATTTGTGAGCCTTATTCCGACCCTCATGACCCTTAATTTGACTCTAGTTACTTAAATGTTGATTTTTGCGACCTTTAATTTTCAAGTCTTAAATTCGACTACCAAATTTCTATCACCAGAAGTCGATTTGGATTTTTAAAATATAGAGAGATTAAAGTCTACATTCATGACAAAATTCATGGAATTCGATTGATCCTTTTCAAGAAAATTTCAAAAAAGAAAAGGGGAAAAAGACCACCTACGTACATACACAGACCTTTTTTGAAAAACCAAAACAATAATTAAATTGAGAAAATAATTAGAATTCCGAATCTAATCGAGTTTTCTGCAATTTTTTTCCAGTTTTCAATAATCTTTGAATTTACCGTAAGGGTAGAGCTACTTTAATCCCCAGCGACGCATCTCCGACACTCAGACTAATCGTTGAAACACTTAAAATTCATTCATTTATCAATTGCTAAAAGTGATAAATGAAATTCATGTGGCGGGTCTTTCTGAACATTTACCGAATGAAGAAAGAAAGTAGAGAACTATTGTTGTTTAGGCAAAGACCTAAATTCAATTCAACGAAATTACAAATTTTGAGCAGCAGGAATGTCAAATTAATAGCACGGAGAAAAGCTTTGGAAACGCAGGAATTGTGAATTTTGAAAAATCTGATGCAAAAAATAATTATCTCCCTTGAGTTATCGTAGTTTTATGGATCGGAACGCAGTTTTTACGTGCTGAAACATAAACTTTAGTTACCTCAACACAAAAAATTGGAAACTTAAATTTGAGTGACTACAAAGCTTCCATTCGGAAGCAAAAATCATGCAATTTCCTACTTCACCGAAAATTCCACGCAATTACACATTTTGAGCAGTAGGAATTTCGAATTAACAGCACGGAGAAAAGCTTTGGAAACAATTACATGGGAAAACGTAAAAGTGACGTAAAATGCTCTTTCAGGAATTGTGAATTTTGAAAAATCTGATGCAAAAAATAATTATCTCCCTTGAGTTATCGTAGTTTTATGGATCGGAACGCAGTTTTTACGTGCTGAAACATAAACTTTAGTTACCTCAACACAAAAAATTGGAAACTTAAATTTGAGCGACTACAAAGCTTCCATTCGGAAGCAAAAATCATGCAATTTCCTACTTCACTGAAAATTCCACGCCATTACACATTTTGAGCAGCAGGAATTTCGAATTAACAGCACGGAGAAAAACTTTGGAAAAAATTACATGGGAAAACGTAAAAGTGACGTAAAATGCTCTTTCAGGAATTGTGAATTTTGAAAAATCTGATGCAAAAAATAATTATCTCCCTTGAGTTATCGTAGTTTTATGGATCGGAACGCAGTTTTTACGTGCTGAAACATAAACTTTAGTTACCTCAACACAAAAAATTGGAAACTTAAATTTGAGCGACTACAAAGCTTCCATTCGGAAGCAAAAATCATGCAATTTCCTACTTCACTGAAAATTCCACGCCATTACACATTTTGAGCAGCAGGAATTTCAAATTAACAGCACGGAGAAAAACTTTGGAAAAAATTACATGGGAAAACGTAAAAGTGACGTAAAATGCTCTTTCAGGAATTGTGAATTTTGAAAAATCTGATGCAAAAAATAATTATCTCCCTTGAGTTATCGAAATTTTATGGATCGGAACGCAGTTTTTACGTGCTGAAACGTTATTGTTACGCGACATACTTCATTACGGAACCTGATTTTATGACTCCGAATGATTTCATCAATTCAGTAGCAAAGCGGCAAACAGGGTCAAGTCGATTTTGACTTTTGATCAGTTTTTGATGAATATCTCGAAATCTAAGAGAGATTGCAAAATTTTTTTCATGACCCTTTTTATAACCCTCAATTGGCTCTACAAAAAAGGTTATGACAAAACTTTTTCTATCTCTTTTAGATTCCGAGATATTCGTCGAAAACCGGGCAATAGTCAAAATCGACTCAACCCGATTTACCGTTTCGCTACTGAATTTCAATTCAATTATCTCAGAGCAATTGAAGTCATCGAAATCGCGATGAATAATTTTCAAAAATAAATAATGAATATTTTAATAAATGCGATGAATATTTTGATCAATAAGAGAGGTGGGGCAAAACGGGTAGCTTTAAATTGTTAAAATCTGATGTACACTAATAAACAATACTATTTGGACACATTAATAGTAGGATTTAGTTGTTATTAACGGCGTTTCTTAACTATTACCACGGGCAAGTGGTCCCCAGGAAACATCGGTAATAAAATATCGAAAAAGACAGACAGATTTTCAATTTGGACATTATCTCTTGTTACATTTTATGATGAATGACGAAATTATTCTTTTACTACGCCTCCGTAGCAGAGTCGTCGATAGACTGATAATTAAATGAGTGAATATCTGAGTGGAGCGGGCGGTCTATTCGAGGTTGTGACCTTCTCGATGGTTTACTGCGTCCGAACTTTCTCGATAAACTCTCATGAGTTTATCTCAATTCAGGGAAAACACTCACAATCAGCGAAACATCGAAAAAAAAATGGCCTGGTTTCGTAAAAATTAGACAAGATGGTGTTGCTCTGTGATGTTGATCTTCACAGAGAAAAAAGCTTCTAAAGTTTGTATAAAGTTTACTGATTCTAGAAACTATGGTTTGTAACCTTCATTTTTCTAGAATCTAGAAATTATTTTTCAAGTTCTAGAATAAAATCGTATGAAGTTAATCAGCAAAATTGCGGTTAGTTCTGAATCAAAATATTCCAAATTTTAGAAAATAGTATATTATGCTACTGGTCCGTAAAGATCCATTTTCTGGAAATATTCTATGAAAAATATAATAAAAATTGACTACAAATTTCCATTTTTGATAATGAAGCTAATGTATAATTATATGATAATTTTCTTATTCTTTATTGATTAACATTTTGAACGTAAAAAAAAACAAATTCTCGCGAGGTGAGTAGTTACAAAATAGTCACGCAGTGTTGACGGAACAATGTGAAAAACCAGTCATCAGCACAAATAAACACGGTATCGGTTCGATTATTATTATCGAAAGGCATCATTCTTCATTTTTAAGAATGTTTATCCAAAATCGCAAGTACTTAAAAAAATTGATTTTTTTAAACTGAGAGATGAAGATATTCCCTTCACTTTGATACAAATTTCAATCCACCAACCCATGTTCATTATTTAGAAATGAAATAGACAAAATGCACCAAATGCATGCGCTAACATGCGCTTATATCAGACAGAATCATTCAAATATTTTCTCTTTTTGCTCGGGTACCCCACATTTTTCTCTGGCCATTGGATTCAGTACACTGATAGAATGATTCATTTATTCCAAACGAGATTCGTTAACTATTAACGAATGGTAGAGTTGATTATGACCAAATGAAGTGACGAATGACCGAGTGACGAACATAAGTTGTCTTCACAATATCCGTAAACGGCGTTAGACGGACACGAAATGACCGTAAAACGACGTTTTACAGACAGTGTGATGAAAAAAACATTTTGCAACTCTTAAAAATGTCTTTCGACATTTATTCATTTATTTATTTATCATTTGCCATGTATACCCTACTCGGGTTTTTACAAGTTCTCTAATTTGCGGTTATCACGGGCCGACTTCCTCTCCAACCGTGTCGCATTGTACCCCAGGAGCTGTACGCCGTGCAGACTCTCCTGGTGAGAGAGAAAAAATTCAATTTCAATCTTTGCGATTATAAAATCAACAGACCCATCCGAGAATTCTTAACAGCTTATGAAATTTTCTTGCAAGAAAAGTCTTCCATTGGGTTTATTCTTTTATCCATAACTCCATAAAATTCAAATATGTGACGTGCAGTTATGTCATCGCGCACGTGTTGTATTAACGATCAAAGAAAACAAATCAACGAAACGTGCATGACTCGCATCGATTAAAGACGTCGAAGGAAATGATTTAACTTTTTTCCCCTCCACTTTTCACTTTTAATTCATCCAATGCAGTCGCCACCCTTTCGTCGTTATTTCAAATGTATTAAATTTTATTCACTCGTTAATGCATTATAGAAATGAATTATGAATTATTATAACAAAAGTCAATCAGTGATAAATATAACTGATGAGTGAAATTAATGA